AGAACGCACAAACATATCAAATATGTGCATATGTAGATATATGTGTGTATTAAATATATGCATGTTATAAAGTTCAAAGTGACATAAAACTCTCAAGCTGTGACTACTACGTCCAAGTCCTTCAGTTATATATAAATATTATTATATATTATATATATGAAAACAAAACAAAAATTCAGAAAAAAATATGTATATGTATGTATATATATAATTTTTTTTTATATATATCGAAAACTTATCCCAAAAACTGAGCTTTTTGACATTAAAACTGATTTCAAGTAAAATTTTAAAAATATATATATATTTTATTTATTTGAAAATATATATATTTTATTAGAAATATATATATATTCTATATATTTTTGCATAAATATATATTTTATAAAACTGTTTGAATTTAATTGAAATTTCAAAATTTTTCGTGTTTTTACGAGTAAAGGAATGGCCTACTAAAACCAACAAAATATTGTAATTCTAATTCACTTCAATCATTACAATATTACATTATAAATCTCACTTGTTCTGGATATTTTATTTATTTATTTATTTTTTTTTTTTAATTTACCTTTTCTATTTACCATTAAAATTTCTAGGAACAACCTATTTTCAATGCATTTTGGTAAAAGCTTGATAAACTGTAGTTATTGCACGTGAAAGTATCCGAAATTTTCTGTAATTCTCTTCTTCAGGTTTCATGCTAAATAAAAATTGGCCATCTATTTAAATTCCATCGAAAAAATCCTATTAATTTAGTCTATGTTTTGTATAGTGCAGCACTACTATTTTAATGAACGCAGCTGTATACGTAATATATATTAACATATAAATATGTATACAAATATATATTGATATGTATAGATATAAATTTGCAAACTGTCCAGCTTGATGATCGCGCTGGGTGTTGTTTTTAGCTGCTGGTCAATGCGGCGTATGCGTCATGTCAAAAGAAAGGGCGAGAAAAAAGAAACGCACAGACTTCGGCAACATTTTCCAAATGCTGCACATTTTTGTTGCTGACTACGACACAAATACGCACACACACACACACATACACAGGCAGACACCCGCACACGCACACAGACAGTAGAGCAAGTGTAACAAAGGATGGCTAGCAGGGAGCAAGGAAGGCGGGCGGGGGGTGTGACGGCAGCTAGAATGGAGCAGGATGTGCGAACGGTCGCACAGACGAGTCGGAAGCACGGACAAACAAACGGATAAGAAGGCAAAAGGAGCAGGCCAGGCAAAGAACGAAACGAAGCGAAGAGTGGAGAGATGAGCAGGGTGGAGTGAGTGGGCGAGGAGAGAAGTAGAGAACGTACAACGTACATGCAGAAGATAAGCGCACAGAGCGACGCTGATAAGGCAAGTTGTGTGCGCTAGCCGAGCAGAGGGAGCTGGGGCCTGGGGCAGGCAGCAATAGACAGACGGAAGGACAGACAGAGAGGGAGACAGAAAGACGGACAGACAGACAGACAGACATACAGACAGCGGGACAGGCAGGCGGACAGGCACAGTTGTGCCTGCGTGTGGAGGACTTGTGAATTTTAACATTTTAGAGAAAAGCGAACGAAAAGCGAATTTTCGAATGTCAGCTCGTCGACTGAAACGAATTGGTGAGGTGGTGGTCGGTGTGGGGGGGAGTGCGAGGGCAATAGAAATGAGCAGAGGACGGCTAAAGGGGGGCCCGGGGCGTGGCAGTGTGTAAGTAGTAGCAATGCAAGGCAGCAGCAGCAGCAGCAGCAGCGGCAGCCACGCTGGAACGAAACAATTTGTAATTTATTTGCGAAGCGTGCGAAAGTTGAGGCAGCTGCCAAAGGCGTAGCCAGAGTGGAAGTGAGAGGGAGACGGGGAGAGCGCGAGCGAGAGAGGAAGGCAGGAGCAGCAAGCGAGCAAGCAGTCAGTCAGGCAGGCAGGCAGGCAGGCCACACGCGTAAGCAGAAGAGGAAGAACAGTTACAGATGAGACCAACGCACACACACACACAGCATATACATTGTTTATGTGTGTGTGCGTGAGCAGTTGGCGTAGGGACATTCCTTCTCTTTAAAGACAATTTTTTAAAGTGTGTAATTTTTGAAATTTATTTAAAACTTTGTTTTTTTTTTTTTTTTTTTGCGCTTTACACAAGTTTAAACATATTCTCGTGTGTGTGTGCTTGTTGTATTTGTTTGCTAGCCTTGATTTAATTACATATTCATATATAATATACATATATATTGTTTTATTCATTCTTTTGCTAAGTATATAAACTATGAACGTTAAATACTTAATACAAATTTGTTGTAAGCTGTTCTTGGAAGTTTCATTTCTTTATTTTTTGACTATGTTACTCAGTCGGGCAGTTTTGAATGAGCTTTTCGCTGCAAAGCTTTTGCCAACTTAAAGACTTGAACAACTTGCTGTACGTGTGTGGGTGTGTGTGTGTGCGAGTATGTGTAGTAAAACCTTAAAAAAAATACACAAAACAAAGATATCATTTGAAACATGCATATCTAAACCATTTATCCATTGCTAAAAAGTATATCAAAATTTCATTGTTTCAGCTAATATTCCGTATCTATATATATATGTATATATAAGTGTATATATTTATGTGGCCAAGCTAGTAAACTTTGGCTGGTATAAAAAGAAATTGTTGTTATTATTGCAACTATTGTATGCCAACTGAACTGTGAATCGGTGCGGGCTATCGTTATACATATCATAGTACATATGTATGTATATATAAGTAATTTTTATATGGTCTTTAGGTATTTGCTTAATCAGTCTTGTATACAAAAAGAACAAAATTCAAAAAAACAATCATTGATTTAAATCAGCAAATTCACTAAATATTATTCACTTGTTTCGTTGTCGTGCAGCATTCAAAAATATATATAGGTCGGTTTGTCATTTGTTATTGTTAGTATAGATTAATAATACATAACAAGTTGAATGGAAACACAAACCATTTAATAGAGACGCATTGAACTTGGTTATTCGATCTGACTGCAACCTACATATAGTACACAGAATTTGAGAATCAGGTATTCATATTACTATACAAACATATATATATATATATATATATATGTGTGTGTATGTATGTTATGTAGTTACGTAGAGCGACGTCGTTTTGTCTGCCCCATTCATTGGGTAGTTGAGTTGTTTACATAGAGAACATTTTCGCACTTGCACTTAATCAAATTATATTTTTGTTTTTCATTTGACACTTACATATAAACAATAGATTTGCAGAACATATAAATATGTATCTAATTAGGTGTATGTATAAGATGCGCTTACAAATCAATAAATTAGGAATCAAATATTACAATACGAGACAGTTGTGTTTGTTTGTTTATGTGTGTGTGTTTGTTTTCTTTTTCTATATATACAAGGTTCTCGATTTCACATTGTTGCAGCCGTGTAAATGCAGTCATCAGCTATGAAAAGCCGAATACATGTGGAAGTTCTTATGCATGGATAAATATCATCATCAACATCATTGTTAGATGTTGCGGCTGCTGTTTCTAACAGAGAACATGAATATCGCTTAATACTTGCTAACTTAGAGAAACAGGCTATATAGATTTACAATTGTACTTAGGCCTAATATTAGAATTTACAATTTTTTGTTTTGTTGTACACTTAGACATTGGATTTGTGTGTGTGTGACTGTGTGTGTGTGTGTGTTTGAGGAAGGGGACGAGAAATTGTGGCTCCACACCGACAAAGACTATCTTTATACATATACAGATTCGCATACATGAAGATAAAGAAAAGTTTCGTAATTGGGATAAAAACACAAATTGCGTACTTATGTCATTAAAACCTAACTCCGGCTATCGTTGCTCTCACTGAAGCTCTGTTCACTCGACTCCCGTCGACTGCTCACCGGCTTGGCCTTGTATTCTGTGATGAAAACCGTAACCGAATTGACGGTCACCTCACGGGTCTGCGCCGTCGATCGATCAACGTTCTTCAAGCGGGCTGGATAACGTTTGTGTCGCTGCCTGTCATGTCCGCTGCCATGTCGCGAACTGGACGCCGGCTTCCCATTCGGCATGTTCCCACTAGCGCCTGGCAATGTGGCCGCCTGCTGAGCGACTAGCGCAGAGTTTAAGCGCGGCTTACGCGTCGATGTGCCTGTCAGCCCAGTCCCAGATACCAGGGAAGAAATAGACAACAAAGAAAATATGAATATCAGTTAAGTGTGTACAATCGAAAAGAAAAATTATGTTTATACTGTGCCTGAGCATTTCACAATTCACTCAGAGCGACCCATTTAGCGGCCGTCCTTCAACGTAATTCAAACATTCGACATTGCTGTCGCTGCCTCAGTCGCAGTCGCAGTTGCCGTTGCCGTTGTCGTTGACGTCGCTGGCGCTGTCGCCGCTGTTGGAATCGAGGTCACTCACCTTTTCTCACGTCACACATGCGACACTTGAACGCCTCCGCCGAGTTCCTGTACGTGCAGACGCTGCAGTCCCAGAAGTTCTCCTCAATTACTTTCGCTTGGCGCTTTTGTCGTCGCACGGGCGATGATTTTTTGTCCATAATAATTCGACGCTGGCCAAATGTAGATGACAAATGCAGCTGGCCGAAAATTTTTGCAAATGTTGTTCGTGCTGCTGCGGCTGCTGCTGCTGCTCTTGTTGTGGCTGCTGTGGCAGAAATTGCTCGCAAACGTTCCCTGCAGCGCTGCTCGCTAGCCAATTGTGCAGAATATCAATATTTAATTACTCCATTAATGTGCAATTGGCGAATTATTGTTATTGTTGAAAATTTCTATTTTCGAGGTTGAAAAACTTTCTGCAATTGTCTTCTGGCCAAATAGAAAATTGTTGCGGAGTTGCCGTATGTGACGCGAGAATAAACACAAAATGTTGCTGAACTACCGCGAGCGACTATCGATATATCGGCGGCAAGCAATCGATGTGAATAAATATCGCAAATTATTAATTTGTTTGTTTTTGTTTTTTATTTTTTTTTAGAATGAATTTTATACCGCCTAAAAATATTTTGAATATCACAATATTTATTTATAATGCGAACAATCAATTGTAAGTGTAAAATGTAAGTGTACATTTATTTTGGTATTGTGTGTGGCACATAATACATATTGTAATTAAGTATATGCTAAATATTAAATAATTAATTATTAAATAATTAAAGTTATCAGGTAGGTCTATTGCTCCATCATGTTTTCTAAGTTCTTAAGCTCCTGTTCACGCTCCTTGATCTGAGCAAAAAGATTATCCAGCGTCTCTTGCATGCGCTGCTTCAGTGTAGCATTTTGAATTGAACCTATTTCTATAGATTTTTGAGATTGTTGTGCCCTTAGGTCGCTGATCTGTCGATTAAGGTTATTTATTTTGTCTTGTATTTGCTGCTGTGTATATTGAGGATGTGAATCATCCATAAACCCTAAATTCTCAAATTCTTCGCGCTTATTCATCATCTTCTGATTTTCATAGAAAGCGCACGGAGCTGCCAGATTCGAACTTGAGCCAGCGGTACTCAGCTTGGGACTGCTCGGCTCCCTAGCGAACATGGACTTAGTAAATTCATTATGCCCCTGTTTATCACCCCCTCCCTGACTATTACCGCTTACCCCAAAGAAATCAGACATACGTGAGTCTTCAGCAGATAAACGCGAGGATTCTTCCAGACGCGAATCATTCCCCGGCAAAGTAGGCTCATCCTCGTCATCTGTAGTGGACACCTCTTCGCCAAATATATCATGTGCAGCGACACCCATATTGGGAGCACGATTAGTCTCGAAATTGCTAGCCTCATCATCATCCGATTCTACATTAATTTCACGCTGTGAAGCGCCTTCATCAGCCCCCTTATCACCAGCATTCATTGTCTCCTCCTGTATATCATCGTCGGCCTCGTTGTACGGCTTGACATCGGACGGGTCCATGTCATCGTTCGGCTTGTCCTCCTCATTGATAATCTCGTACTCGACACGCACTGCCTCGTTGTCGATGCGCAATAGATGCTTCACTTCCTTCTCGATTTCGGGAGTCTCCACATTCTTCTTTTTTAGAGTTTTGCGAAAACGTCGTTTACGCACATTTTTACAAGGTGGAGTAATGCCATGGGGCCACAAATACTTCTTGTCCACCTTGTTTGGATCCTTTTTCTTGTTTTTGTTGGGCGATTCCTTTTCAGTCTCGTCCTCCGGCTCTTCCTTGCAAATGAGCAACTGACAAATGTCCGCCGATTTGTAGAAGCTTTTATTATCAATTGTCTTGTAGCTTTCCATAATAGTGGGCAAGTCGACAAGTTTGGCATAGAGCATTTGGTCATCGAAACGCACTTCCCCATAGCGCAAATCCTGGTCGAATTTGATAAATAGGCGATCCTTCACATTGCCTGTCTGTATGGCTTCATGGATGCCTTCGGCCACTTCCTAAAAATAAGTCGAATAAATGAGATGTCCTCAAAGGCAGCTAAAAAAATTCACATACCTTTGGAAAGCGTATAATAAACTGATTTTCCAATTCAACCCCGTCATCTCGCGGCTTATGTTCAGTTTGCTTTTTTTTCTCAAACATGATTATTTTTTGTATATTTTAAATTATATTTATATTTTATTAAAAAAAAACAGAGAAAAGAAAAAGAAATTTTCGACGTCTATATTCTTTCACAGTTCCGCACGAAATAAAATCAGCTACGAAATTTCCGACGTCTATATTATTTCACAGTTGCATAAACGATATCAGAAAAATAAATGTAAGTTGAAACTTATCGAAAAAAAGCGAGTGCTGTAAAATGCTGTTCACTAAGGCAGTCCGGCAACCTTACTGAATAAAAATAAAGGCGCGTAAGCAGTTAAGCAAAACAAACGATGACATGATTTTCGATGGCTACTGTGTTTTATTTTTCCTGTGTGCAGTTATTAATAGTTATGTGTGTTTAATAACCAAGTGTTACGCCTACACAGTTTGCAAAAATGGAGCCCAAAAGGCCGTCAAGAGTAGACAACCAACCGCAACTCGTTTTCTACACACAACACACACACATACATTCGAATTTACATAAACACATCTTTCTACATCCATATGTATGTATGTGTGCATATGCGCAATATATTTATATGCATGAATATTGGACTTAAATACATATGTATGTAGGTATATTATTATAATACAAACAGCTGACATTTGAGGCTTAAGCGACTGCTTATTTATATAAATCAACATCTTTCGCTTATCTTATCTTAAGTTATTGCGTTCATCAGTTTCCGTTGAGTTTGCTCTGCATCATTTGACGCCCTGCGGATCGTAGGCGCCCAGAAAGGTGTTACACTTGCGGCAATAGTGATTACCTGTGCGGCAGCTATTCATGCAATAGGGCACAAAGCATGCACAGACACACCAGCTGCACAAGGGCGAATAAGATTAGTTTTTAATGCAATTACTAATATGAATGTACGTATGTATGTGTATTTGCACGTACCCCACTAGACAGATGAGCGCCGCGGCCAGGTGAGTCCTCGCATTGGCTGTGTGCGTCATGCGTGTGGTCTTCTGTGCACCACAAGCGGGACACAGCACGCGGCATGGATTCGGGCCCAAATTTGTGGGTGCTGCATTGAAATAAGGTTTGGCTAATTGCTGGCAATTATAAAAGTAAAATCCAGATTTCTACCTGTTTGCACTATTGTGGGCTCTAATAGTTCTGGCTGCTGCTGTAGTTGTTGTTGTTGTGGTGGTAGTGCTGGTTGCGGTTGTGTATGTGGCTGTGCAATCACAATTGGAGTTTGTGCTGAAATTGCCACATCGTAGGATGGCGGCGCCTCCATCGTTGGCACAGTCGATTCATTTGTTGGCGTTGGCAGCGGAGCGCTGGGCGTGTTGAAATCCACTTGGGGATAGAGCATGGCGCGCTTCTGATCCATGGTGCGAAGTTCAACTTTAATTACCAACTATGTGTATGTATATATATATCTATATATGTATGAATCAGATTTAGACAAATCACAGCTCCAAGAGCTTTGCTTGATTTGCTAATTGGCAGAAGCAGTAATACTAGCAGCACCAGCAGCAGCAACTGCGTCAACCACGGCTCGAAGTTTCGTTCGCTGTCTGCTTGACTCTCTCCACCTCTCTCGCTCACTCTCACTCTCCCTCGCTCTCGATAGATTGCAGCTCTCGCTGAATGACTTTTGCGCTTCACTTTCAACACGCGACTGAATTTGGGTTGAGCGCTAGCCGAATCAGCTGCCAGAGATCTGCTGCTGGTGAGAGCGAGCGAGTGAGCAAGCGAACGAGCTTAAAAGCTAAAACAACAACAAAGAACAGGTACCGAAAATGCGTGTGTGGAGAGTGAGCGACTAGGTGCTACCCTTTGGGCAGTTCAGTATGTATATATAAACAAATATTTATTTTATGTTAAATTTAAGCAACGTTGCCAATTAGATTCTTATTGGAATGTCGCGGTAAATTGATTGAATTAGGTCTTTGACTATATTTAATTCAATGAAACCCTGTGTATGATAATATTAGCGTAGGGAACTGCTTATTCCTAATTTAAATTACTTTATATATAAAATTAGTTAATTAATAGCTTATCTATATGTTGGAAGACATTACAGACCTCTAATCGTTAATCCCCAAAAATCAGACTAACAATGAAATATATACGCTAGCTACCCGCCTTCCACTTGGCACAGGGTATGCATCTAAAAACAAGAAAACTTTGGCAATTTTTTTGTGGCAATTGCAAAAGTGAAAAACACGAAATTAAGATACTAACTACAAATGTATTTGACCAATTTATCTAAGGTACACAAACAAACACCTGTGCACAGGTAACAGTGTACCTGCACTACTGAACATATAATCAACTATATCTACGTGTTTGTGTGTGTGTGTGTGTGTGTGTGTGTATCTCACGTATAATTCTTTACTTTTAGCCAATTTAGCCAATTCGGTCTGCAGATAAATGTTAATTTTGGAGCTGCACATCCGGCCGACGCGTCGCGACAATGCAGACAGTGGCGTCACAGGTGCAACTCACTTGCGCAAATAGGTGCCCAGATAACGGTTACACATGCCACAGTAGTGGTTGGCATTCATACAGCTCGAAATGCAGTAGGGCAAGCAGACGAAGCAATAGAGTCTACACAATCCGAATAGAATGGTATCAGTAAATATCAATAGTGTTATCTATAGCTGGTACTCACTGTAGCAGGCACAGCACCAGGGCAATCAGATGCGTGCGGGAATTGGGCTTGTAGGAGATGCGTGTGCGTGCATAGTTATGGCAATACGGACACTGCACATCCTGTGGCTCCGGTCCGTACGGCGAATCGGGCAAAATAATCACCGTATGCTGGGTGGCCGAGCCGGTGGGTGGGGGCGGTGCTGGCGTGGGTGCTGGTCCCGTTGTCACTGCGGGCGTGGCCGTTGCCGTGCCCGTTGCCTGATCGTATGTGGGCGGTGCCAACAATTTCTGGTGCTCCGGATGCGTCTCCTGCACCAGGCCACTCACATCTTTGGGCTGCTCTAGCGGCTCGCTGGGATAGACGCGTTCCATAATAACTGTATCGATGACTGAGCGATGACAAATTTTCTGTCAATTTCATAAAACGCGACGCACCCAATCGGCTCTTATCACAATAAACCTTTCTGTGGTAGGTTTCCGAAAGCTTTGCTCTGATTGTTTACCTTACAGGTAATGAGTAGCTTTTCATGTCTGATATATGTATGTGTGTGTGCACGGGTTTGTGTATTTGTGTATGTGTGTGTGTTTGTGTTTGCATCACTCAACACCTAACAAAAAATGTTCGCATTTCGTTTGTATGGAGAAATTGTTTACGTTTATTGTTTAGCATTTTGGCCTTAATCGCTGCTATAGACGCCCACGAATTTGTTGCAATTGCCGCAGAAGTGATTCGCATTCATGCAGCTCGTGGCACAGTAGGGCAAACAGGCGAAGCACCAGAGTCTGCACCACGATTAGAGATAAGTTAAAAATTTGGAGACAAGATAAGATAGAGAGCGAGAGGAAGATAAATAGGTGGTAAATCATGTTGTTTCTCTTACCCCACTATGCAAAGCAGCGCGGCCATGCAATGTGTGCGCACACTGGGCGAATACTCAATGCGCGTGAGACCCCGCACCTGGCAATGGGGGCAACAGACGTAGCACGGATCGGGTCCCACAGCTGGCGGCGCTTGTTCTGCAAGTGTTGCACATGTGCGTTAGACAATCAAAACAATCAAACATCGAAGCCGTCAAGTGCGTGTGCCAGACTTACGCTGTATGATGACTACGTTTGCGGTCGTTGGCACCTGGAATTGTGTTGCCTGCGCGTAGCTGGGCGGCACCTGTTGCGCCTGTGCATACTGATAGTTCATGTTAACACCTCCAGCGGCTGGCGTACTCTGCGTGTTCATGATGCGTTTATCCGTGCGCAGGTCTATTGATAGACAGCTTTCATTCCAGACTCGTTTACTTGTGCGCTGCGCTCTCGCAGCAATGTTGACGCAGTCAAAAAGTGCCAGCTCATTTGTTGCCAGCGCACTTTGTATCCAGCTTGCGTGTTGCGAAAGCTCATGTGATCAGCGCTCATGCTAACAAAGCGTATATTAGCAACATTCTGGTGCGCACATGTTGCTAAAGCTCATGTTGCCAACGCTCATCTTAACTGCGCTCTTATTGCTGTAGCAATTGTATGTTGGCATCGCTCATTTAGATAACTGTCGGCCATCTTAGTTTCGCTATTGTTTCTATTGCAATTCTATCCAGCTAACATGTTGCTCAAGCTCATGTTGCCAACTCTTAAGTCCACAGCACATCGCGACGCTCATGTTGCCAACGGTCATTTTAGCTTCGCTCTAGCTGCTGTTGATGCTGTATCCAGCTAACAGCATGTTGCTAAAGCTCATGTTTGGAACATTCATGTTGCCAACTCTTGTGATGGAGATTTTTACGCTTGGGCTTTTAACGGGTATTATAATAGGTTTAGGGCGCAGAAAGCTTTGTATGCATGACTCATAAATTATTGAGAATTATTTCATAATCATGCATAATAATGCATCCTAACTATGTTAACTATATTATTATATTAAATTATCATGGATTTCTACAGTATCAAAAGCATTAATCTGTTCTTATTTCTTTGCTTTATTGTTGCTAAAATCTGTGTAGAATGAAAATATTTCATTACGAATCGCTTTATTAAATTTGAAAAAGTATGGTCTTAGCCTAAATACATAATGTTTATATAAAGAGTTCTGTCGCTACCAGCAGCGGCAGAACGGGAGTATATAGCATGCCGTATGTGTGTATATTTATGTTTATATGTACATGCAGAAGGCACAGACACTTGAGTGCTTAAGCTACATCGTGGGCGAGAACGTAATAGTGCTTACGCTGCAGATCCCATGCTGCAGTCCAGTCCATACATAAGTGACCGATCATATTACGGTTGATATTGTATAAACAAAGCAGCAAAGGATTGCTATGTGGATGAGTATGATACTCTTACTTTAAGTGGGGTATATGCAACATCAGATGTTGCATACACAACAATACGATGGGCATATGCTTATTTGACATACAACATACTACATCTGCACACATACTACATACATATACTATAGTTTCATTCATAGGTGCCAATGAAGGCATTGCAGAAGGAGCAATAATGATCCACGTTGCGAGAAAAGTCCGTGCAGTAGAGACAGATGGCACAGGGCCACAGGCTGCAAGCATATAAATAGATGCTACTTTTAATAATCTCTCCCTCTCTCTCTCTCTCTCTCTCTCTCTCTCTTTGGAATACCCTCTCTAAGCTTTCGTTTAGTTACATCCACTTACAACGTAAGGCACATGAAGAGCGCTATCATATGAGTTCGATATGTGGCCTTGCTCACTATGTGCGTCATCATTTCCAAATGGCAATTGGGACAGACCATGCGAGTGGACACCCGACCGATGGCAGATGGCATTTCGTAATACTTTAGGGATATACAGATATATATGAATATATATGTATATGTATTACGTATATGTATATATGTAACTTAGTGGCTTCAGCTCTGCCTTGGCTGCTGTTCCCGGCAATACTGTTGCGCCTTGCCCTAGTTTGAGTCTTTTAATATTATCGCATTTCATTTACATGAAAGTAAGTATATATATGTATGTGTAAGTGAGTCGTATAGCTGCATTATAATACCCCATATTCATTTCTGTGTAATGAGCGTTATTCATAGAAGTTGTTTATGGATTGAAACTATTAAAAAGGACTGTTTTGTGTATGGAGCAATAGAAGAAAGGCGGGAAACGCAAAATAGAATTTCGAGTTAGGATAATGAGTCAAGTCAATCAATAGTTATTTCTATCCGTCTGTCTGTCTGTAGCTTAGAATTGTGTCTCTTAGTCGGATACTCCCGACTGCAGCTCTAAGCCTTAGCTAGTGAGTTTGTCAGAATCTATTATTATACATTCCCCATTATACGATATTCTACAGTACTTCAAGTTCATCTTTTTCAGATGCGAGCTGGTTTGAATAAAATAGATATCTAGATTTTTTTTTTCATTGCACTGTTTTAAGTTAGACTATAACTAAAATTTACTATATATACAATAATACCATGTATCAATATACATATTTCACAGGATAGCTGCGTAGACAAGTTCTTTGAACGAATCCATTAATGGGTATCCAGATTTAATTAACAATTAACCCTTAAGCAATTTTTACTTTCATTTTTCTTAGCATTAATTTCAGTAATCTACAATATATATTCATAGCTGTTTATTTTTTTTTATATATGTTTTATTATGTATCAATTACATCACAAAATCATGCGCATATTTATAATATCATATAGTATCTGTTATTTAGGTAAAAAAATGTTTCATAACGAATTTCGTTCGCGTAATATTAAGTATTTAGTGCATACGTGTTGTTATTGTAGTTGTTAATGTTGTTGTAATCCGTTGCTCAAACTTCAGTTCTGATAGGTGCCTATAAAGGCGCCACAGCTGGAGCAGGTGTGCACAGCGCTCTGGCAGGAGTCCACGCAGTAGGGCACACAGCAGCAACAGATGCCGCTGCAAGGATATAGTTATAGAATATATATACATACATACATACATATATACACATATATATATATATTAGAGCTTGGCTCACCCCACTAGACAAATGAGTAGGGCCAATAGATGCGTCTTGGTGCTCGGCTCGTGGCTCACCGTCGTCTGCTGTCGGGCGTGGCACGAGGGGCAGACAGCAATCGTTGGCATGCGGCCCAAATTGTTCTGTGCTCCACCTGATCGGGAGGCGGATAACAAACACATTGACAGTTAATTGTTCACTTGAATTAATGATTGATGATTATTTGATTAACCTTGCATATAGACCTGGGGCTGTTGCACATTAATCACGGAGGGCCTCAACGATTCGGCCGGTGCGTTTACGTCCCCATATTGGGGCGGAGCATCTGGCGGCGATGGATATAGATTCGGTTTCGATGTCATTGCAACTCAACAAGTTCCAATTAGTCCAAGAGTTCAATTGGTTGACTGGCTCACTGGTTCACTGGTTCACTTGTTCCCTTCCGTTTGTGGTCTGCTTCGCTTGCGCCTCGCTTTGGAACTGAACAGCGAGAAATTTTGTTGCTCAGCCATTGCCTGCGCTGGGAATAGGCGTCTGTGTGAGTGTCACAGTCGGTGTGTGTGTGTGTGTCTATGTGCCACAGTGTGTGGGTGTGCGTGTGTATGTGAAGCCATTTTGCAGTCGTTATCGAGCTTAATATCCGACTATCAACGGAAAGTACCCGTAGCGCTAGGATAACGATTATGACTCACAGTTATCAATTAAAGAGTAAGCTCATACCTTGGCTATTGGTTCTGAGAGCGAAATTAATTATAGAAAATCTTATAATAATAAAAATGAAAAAAAAGATGTAATGTCATATATAATTATATAAATATTTTTATATATTTATCTGAATTTTTTTTTTAATTTTGCTAATTTTATTATTTTAATAATAATATAAATATAATATATTGATCTACTCTTTTATTAATAAATAATAAAATATATAATAAATTAAAGCCTAAAACAAAGCGAGTTTATTTAAATCAACTCTTCATTTAATTTCAGCTCAAATTCGTTTATTTAAAATAGCGATTCGCTCATAAAAATATTAGATATTAATGGAGCTCTGCTTGAAGCTCGGGAAATGAATATTTTGTTATGTATGTATAAATTATTGTATGTAGATTAATTGTATGTATATAATTGTAGATAATAATTCAGCAATTGTTATTTCTCAAAACTAAATGAATTTATTAGTTAATTTCTGTTTAAAGTGAATCATAAAATTATTCGCAATTAACAAAATTCGGCTTGCAGTAAATACGTTAGGTCAACATGTGTATAACCCGTATTCAGTTGAAAATGTGCTTGATCAAGACTTGCTATATTTTATGTCATTGCCCGTTTATCGATAATAATCGATATTTCAATTTGGCATTGTTAGCTTCAGGATTTCTTAATCTAGGAATCTCTAAAACAGAATCAGCGCAATATTCAGAGTACTGGATACACCCGACTAACCCACTCCATATTTATTTAGTCATTCTTGATTGAAAATTTTACCGTTAGACTTTTAGTAGAGAAGAGTAACTTAGACCCCTGGCTAAGCCAGCAAAAGAAAACGCATTAAGTTGACATCTTGCTGTTCCATAGCCTAGACAGCTCATATTTACTATAATATATATTGTATATAAATGTATTATTTGTGTTTGCTTTGTTAATTGAGCATATCAGCAATCAAAAACTGGACACAATTTTAGCTTGTTTTTTAGCATTTAATTGCTTTGATTTAATTAGGGCTTAGCACGGATGACAATTAGTTGGCGGCCTTGCCCAAATACTGATTGCAGCAGCTGCAATAATGATAGAGGCTGCGGCAGCTCTTGAGGCAATATGGCAAGGGAACCAAGCAAATCAGGCTGGAAAGAAGAAGAGAGAGCAAGGGAAAATATAGATGAGATATAAATGTATAGTATGGATATATCATATATCAGCTAACTCACCCCGTTACGCAGAGTACGAGTGCAATAAGATGCGTGTTTTTATTGGAGCGCAGCTCTAGGCGCGTTTGCATCACGTTGTGGCAACTGGGGCACGTCATGCGCTGTGGCTCGGGTCCCAGTGGCGTGGCGCCTGGCAGTAATTGATAAGAGTTTCACCTGGTACACCTGGATATTCATCACTTACCTGCTGCATTCACCAACAGCACTGTGGGCGGAGCAGCAGCAGCAGCAGGAGGAGGAGCTGTGCCCACTGCACTTGCTGCACCTGGAGCACTTGCCATATAGCTAAGGCCCAGCGGCTTCAGATCCATCTCCATGCTAAACTCTTTGATGAGCATCGCAAGGCCCTCAGCGGCCTTTTATAGCCAAGCACTTGGCACTAGGCATACGCTGCGTATGCGCGATTAATGCCTAACGGCGACCCATTCAGAAATAATTCACACATTATTATTCGTCATTTGTTTATTTGGCAAGAAGGCGCAAAACAGTTAATCAACAAAATGGGAAATTCTATTCAACTAAATTCAGGCTAATTGCAGAGTTCTACGCATTAAACGCCGTGGGGCTGAACAGTGGCTTGTGGGCGTGGTTACATAAGTTTTATAAAAATACAATTTGTTTTATCTAAAAAAATCTATATACTCTTGAACAAATTTTCTACAGTGTTTTGAGCTTTTTTTCAATAAAAATGTCACACACAATTTAATTACAATATTTGTTTTAGAAACTTATTTTTTTATGATTTTTTTTTTTTTAAATTTTAATTCAATTTTGTACATTTTTTTTTGTGTGTCGTTTTTGTATTCTATTTTTTTTTTTTTCTAATAGAGAGGCCCTTGAAAATAAAATCAGGGCATGATTGATATGTTTTACAATAAAATAGTCAATGAATATTTTTTGGAAACATTTGTTTCAGTGTGTTTTTATGCCAAGTAATTTTTGAAAATGGGAAATTGACTTTAAGATTTTATTAAACTTGTAAAACATTTTATAGGGGTTTTTATTTCTTTTTATTTATTTATTTATTTTTTAATTCTGAGACTGCTTTTTTATCAATTCTAAAATTTAAAAAAAAATTGTAAAATTTAATTATATCATTAAATTATTTTTATGGAATTCTGTAGTTTTTTTTTTTTTTTAGCCTTATTGTATGCTTTTTTCATATTTTTAAAAAAGCTCAAGGCGTTTATTTATATTTTATTTTATTTTATTTTATATATTTTTTATATATGTTAAAACTGTTCCATGCAAACTCATTGCTAAAATGCGATTTATATTAGTTAGCATTTGAGTTAGAGGTATATTTGGTATAGTAAATAGAGGATACCTAAAAATGTGCATTTAAGCGAAGCTTGACTGTAAAAACAGTTACTTTTGCAGCTGCAAATTATGAGAAAATAGAGAAAAACCTTTTGCTTGTATTAAAAGCCCGCAGCAGTGCAACAATATGAATTGGCATATGTATATACTATATGTGTGTATATATGTGTATATACTATATAGCGCCGAACTATCTGAAATCATGTCAACGCACGTAGGTGCCAACGTAGTTGTTGCACGAGGGGCAGAAGTGATCCGTGCTGCGCGCACACTTCGTGCAGTACAAGGCGATGGCGCAGGGCCACAAGCTGCAATCAAAGCAACACAAATTAAATGGTAGTTAGTTAGCTAGTTAGTCCAACTATATATATATATAGTTGGTTTCATTGATGTCTTACCAGAGCGCGGACAGTATGAGGGCCAATAAATGAGTTTTGGTTGTGGCCTTGGGCTCGGTGCGCGTGGTCACCTGTTGATGGCAATTGGGGCAGATTAAGCTGCTTGGCTCCGGTCCGACAGGTGTGGACATGTTGCTATATAGAAACATATACAATAAATGAGAGGGGGCCGTGGAGTTATTGATTTTGGAGTTGGTGTTGACCTTGACCTACGGCCAGTCGCGTGCATTGACAATTTCAATTGCAATGGCAATGGCAATCGCTGCTTTGACATCTGGAAAACCCATTTTGGAAAAACAAGTGCACTCTCACATGACTTCGAATGGCTAATCTGAGCTAATCTGATAACGGCTAATTGGTCTGGCATGCAGCAGGCAAATTAGCTCAATGTGATGTCAGCGACAGTGTAACGATGTCGTCATTCACAGGAGCTGCCCAAAAGCCGAGAATACCCCATAGGAGACAAGCAGAGCGCCTGTACATAAACTTCACACTTAATTCTACCTAACCCTGACAACAAGCCCCTCACAACATGGCCACCCTCCTCAACTGGACAAGGGCGTGTCCTTCGTTGTTTTTGGGCGTGTTTCGCTATGCTTGATTAACTATATGAGAGAGTAAACAATGTTGTAGCATAACGGACTGCTTAATACTGGCTCATATATCATATATCATATCTAGATTTGACAGGCCATATATTGTTTAGATGATATATGGTTGCTCCTGAAATTTAACTATCTTTAATCTATAATTCGATATCTCATATATTTTATCATATTTGTATGATATATAATAAATAATATATAATATATACAATAGAATCCGGTTATAACGACTCCGCTTATAGGTCTCCAGACAAACTTTTACGAGCAAACTTATACGGCTATAGCGCCTTCCGGATATAACGACGGTCCCTTGAGTGTCGTTATAACTGGATTCTACTGTAATATAAAATATATCATATAAAATATATGCTATGATAATAGCAGTTAGGCGTTGATTTATGTACAGCACACACACACACACACACACACACTCTCACACAACCCGTTTAAAAATAATCTTCACATTCCATTTATACATTTTTATATAAAAATTTAGCTAAATAACAGATTAGCTTAGAGCCTAGTATTACTCACATCGCTTATATGTATATACGGATGTGTTGCGTATATATATTTCTATATTTATATAGTTTTCTGATTATTTCTAAACTAACTTTGAACTTAAATTTCGCGAACTTGTTACGCGCTGTGGCAACGAAATCGTTTTGAAGTTTGCAGCGCAGATAAATCGCCTGGACAGTCGTTTGTCGTCATGTTAGTTAGCAGCAGTGCACAGTGGCCTTGTGTTCATTTGCATGCGCAGCAATTGGCAGGCGACATAATAACTGAAAACTATGCTTAAATTAAAGCTTTCTATACATACAAATATATATATATAGATATATTAAAGACGTTTACATTACTTATGATGCTAGATCCTGCCAATTCAACTGCATTTCAGTCCATGCTAACAGCACCTAAAGCACAGTGCCAAAGCAATGGCCGTTAGCGACAATGTTGCGCGTATGTTGCTGCAACAAAGGCTTAGCAACATTTTAGACGGAGTTCCTACTTATTTTCGATAACTTCAACTTTCAATAGTCGGTTTATTGAGCAAAAGCAATATACATACGTATGTATATCAAGTAAACAGTTGCTTATACGTAAAATATTTCAGTAATTTGTTTGTTTACATTAAAATCAGATATGGCTATTGTTTATGCTAATGGAACGAAGCGAAGCTTCAAGTGTCGGAATCTGATTCTTGTTGAATGTATATATTATACATACATACATAAATATATGTATGAATTTGCGATGATGTGAGTTTTTCGGAATCGTATAAGGAATATGTAAATAAGATGTTTCTTATATATGTATATATGTTTCTTGTATATGATACTGAGCTCTGCTCGGAGAGCCTCCGAGTTTCTTCTCGCCGGCGTCATCGCTTTAGAAGCGAGCATTGCATTTGGGGCAGACGGGGCTCGTCTGGTAGCCCCACTCGCAGCAGCAGGGCAAGCAGACGCATGGCCAGCAGCTGCAAAGGGACAAAGAGATAAAGCGCAATTGGCAAATAGATTTTCCTAGAAATTTCACAATTCAACACTCACAATAGGGCACAGAGCACTGCTGCCCAGCAGTATGTTGCGCATGTGGCATGATGCTTCATACGTATCAAGATCCGTTTGTTGCAACGGGGACAGGTCGTCAGGCCAGAGCTGTCAACGACTACGTTATTCGTCTGGACCACGTGCACATCGGGACGTGGTGGCTGCGCCGCTAGCGGCGCATGAATCTGTTCAGTTGGTGGAGCACTTGGTCCTGCACCGTACTGCTCTTGAGAATACGGTGGGGGTTGCGGGGGCAATTTGCTGTACTCCATGATCTAACAAAGAGACTTGTCTTAATATTTATTGCAGCATACAGCAAATTTGCAGGTATTGCGCATTTACTCAAATAGTATGCACACATACACACTTATACGTTCATACATGCATCCATACATGCCAGAGTATGAGCATACATATTTATAAGTGTATATGTATGTGCGCACATACATACATACATATCCATATGTACGTACATTTATGCACTTTAAGTATCAAATTTTGCTCCTCGCGCATTCTTAAATTTACACACACATTCATTACCTTTCTATTTACTTTATGTATTTCTATTCACTTTATTTGCTATGCTCAGATAAAGCGACCGGCGACTTCTTCGCAAGAACATAAAAAACGGAATGAGCGACGCTGAAAAATAACCGAGCTTCTTCTCTCATAAGCCTGGTGCTGCCAGTGGGAGCGAGATGACTAGATTGTCTTGTCAACGTTTGCTGCACAAAACGGAATTGCACACCAACAATTGTAAATCCATGCAGATCTTTGAACATAGCCCAGCAAACAAATATGTGGTGAGTAGAGTGAACACTGATAATTATCAAGGTTAGGTTCTATATAAATAATCTAATTGTGTTGTTAAGGTACTAAACTTGCATTGTACAGATTCAGCGCTTAAAATAAATATACAAAAAAAAAAAAAAAAAAAATTATCAAGTTTACTTAATGGCAAAATATATAAGGATCTTAGTTTTAGATAATATATAATTAATACTGTGGAAATTTCAACATTTGTGGTTTGATAAACTTGCATTTGCATTACAGATGAGCAAAGGCTTAGTCTAGAATGAACCAAATGCTGTAAAATAACTGATTGCATACTTTTAGGCGGCGAAATAAAATATGCTTATTGCCTTCTTTTAGCTACACGATTTAAATAGGCAGTTGAATGTATTTATTTTTAGATAATAGGATTCCTATCAGCTCAAACTGTTTATTTTTTGCAGTTAGCAAGCGTCAGTGTTTTATTATTAGTCATCCAAGCCCGTTTAGTTATAAGTTATTTTAGTGACTCGATTAGGTCAGTTCCGTTCCTATGCGGCTCGACTGCCTATGAAGGCATTGCAGACGGGGCAATAATGATTCGATTGCTTGCAGGAGTCCATGCAGTAGGGCACACAGACGCAGGGCCAGCAGCTGAAGAGAGAGAGAGAGAGAGAGAGAGAGAGAGAGAGAGAGAGAGAGATAGATGTTGATAAGGCTCACAGGTTTAACAAGCTCCATTGAAACCTGAATGCCAGTTGAATGGGCGCATTCAAACTCACCCGATTAGACATAGAACCATTGCCCATAGATGCGTTCGCCCCGTGGGCGTAGCCTCGATGCGGGTTATCACATCGTTCTGACACGCCGGACAGCGCACGAATGTTGGATCTCGGCCCACGGGCACGCGCTGCGGTATTGTGTGGATGATGACTGTGGAGCTGCCCGGCGGCTGTTGCATGGGCGGATATAAGGGCGGCTGTGTGGGTCCAGCCGGATACGGTTGATAGGTTTGGGCGGGCACATAACGGATTTGCGCCTGGGGCGTTGCCTGTGCCGGCACAGCAATAGGCACTGCGTCCACCTGTGGCTGCAGTGGCTGCGGTGGTAGCGGTGGCTGCGGTGGTAGCGGTGGCATTGGCTGCTCAGTGTATGGTGGCGGATCCTGCTTTTCCATGTTAATCCAATTATTACTATATATATATTATTATTTTTTTTTTATTATTTAGAAATTCGTGCTTTCGACCTTATAGTTTGGCGTTTATTATTTTACTAATTTAGCCTCGCTGCGAGTAAATGTTGATAAAGTGCCAAAGCGTCGAACTGATATCGAACTTATCTGCTAAGGCGACACTAGATTAGATTTAGCACGACTTTAGCTCTTGGAATTGGGGGATTTTTATGGTTAAAAAGGGGGGCGGCTACACCTGTTCTACCTTCGAAACATGACAAACGGGCAAAAATTAGTGTGAAATTGTCACTTTCATAGGTATTTGGTATTTAGATAATACGCAATGAAATTTTTCGGTAAAGCTCTGTATGCACCAGTTACTGACATGTGAGAATGCGAGAGAGAGAGAGAGAGAGAGAGAGAGATAGCGTGAGTGGGAAAGAGATTGCAGCTACTAAGTAACTATATACAATCGCTGTATAGGGCATAATGACAGAGCCAAACAATAGATATGTCATATATACAAATGTTCTATACAATATGATATACCAATTGTGATAAGCTTCTCTTGGACTCACTTGAAGAATTTGTTAACTAGAAATTTATGGCCATAATCAAAGTTGACTCAGCAAAGCATTCATGGAATGCCCAAGTTAGTGCAGCGAGAAGCAACTGATGGAGTTAAAGTTGAAGAAGTTGCAACCAGTTACAGTTTAGCTCATTAACAAATCATCTAAATTGAATATTTGTATATTTAAAAGAGTAAAGATATATCAAATAAAATGAAACAAACGCATATCCTTGATTCACTTGATGATGATCGTTGGTGGCTTTTATTTAAAATCGTTTAGCTTAGCATATTAAATAGACAGATCGTTGCTTATAGTTAGTTAATACTTTATTGCTCGTAGGTGCCAATGTAGGCGCCGCAGTTGGGGCACGAGTGCTCCGCGTTCTGGCAGGAGTCCATGCAGTAGGGCACACAAACGCAGGGCCAGCAGCTGCGAAGGGCAGAGCGAGAGAAATAGAAACAAAATCAGCGACAAGAATGCAATTAGAAAAAAAAAAAAAAAAAAACAAAAACAAAACAAAAAAGAACAAAAACAAATGAAAACATGTTCACTGATTGCGCCGGCGATGATTCATGAGTGATTCAATTCAATTCAATTCAACTTGATTCAGTTGCTGTGCGCTCAACTCACAATAAAAGGCACAGGACCAGGGCCCAGCAGTGCGTGCGTCCGGTCGGGGTGCGCTTCACAGTTGTCAGGATATCAGCGTGGCAGGAAGGACACTGAACTCGCGACGGCTCGCTGCCGATGGGCACCACATTTGTCGTTGTCGTCGTCTGTATGATCACCTGTGGTGCACCGGGCTGGTAGGTCTGGGCGGGCGTATATCCTTGATTCATGTTTGGGGCCGCAACAACTCAACAACTTTTCAACGGTCGACGTGAACTGTTTGATGATATCTCAATAACTGAGGCATATATAGTGAAGCTACCGAAGCTACAGTTCGCTATGATATGTGCTTATCTAAACAGGCGTGGCCATAACTGATAACAAAAAGGCAGACAATGACAGTTACAGAGAACGTGAGAAAGAGAGAGAGAGAGAGAGATTGTAAAAAATAACAAAAGTGGGAGTTTTTGTTTTATTACTTGGCTGATTTGCTGTCCAAGCTTAGCACATTGCCGAAATGTACATATATAACTGTATCATGTATCATATATATATGTACCCATTTTAGAGTTACGAATCGTAAAATGTATGTATGACTCATGCCCTCAAGTGGTCTATAAAACAATTTTCATTTCAGCTATTTACAGCATTTAGAGTTGACTCATTTCAAAGAAGTGCAAATAAATTGGCAATCTGATTAAATTTGTATAGATAGAGTATTAAGGAATTTACTGAATGAAATATAGGCTTTTATTTCTGCTCAGTTATCTAAGATAAGCTGTTTGTGCATTAAATGTTTCGTTTCATTTCATTCGAAAATTGATTTTTAGCTTTTTACGCCTTTATGTTTAAATAAATGTAAATCTCCAATTTGTGTATAAAATATAGGGTATTCCATGGTCTATCATGCTTGTGCAACTGTAGGTATTTCCTACATATTTACTTTCTTATCATTCCAAGTATATTTTTTCAAGTATAAAACAATCTGTCAGCCTAGAAAAATGATAAGAATATCATGTGCCGTAGACTAAAAAACAAAAACACAAAAAATCGATTAATTAAAACCGATAATTATCGTTTATGGCATTTTATTTACTTATTTATTTTATTATAAACTGAGAATAACAAGAGAAGCGCTCATAACAAAAAAATATATACATATATCATTAAATCAATTGAGAATGAAATTAAAATAGAACAACGTGGCGTATACGTAATAATTTACCTGCTCTACTCGTTCGTATAGGAAACAATGTAGGTATGATTAATATAGTAATTCATTCAGAGAGTAAAGATCTATAGGCTTAATAAGATAATGTAGTTTACACACGTATATAAATATATATGTATATAGGCATATGTATATGTGTGCGAATTTATCTGTCTTTTTTCGGGCTTAGTTCTCGTAGGTGCCAATGTAGGAGCTACAATTGGGGCAATAGTGATTGGCATTCTGACAGGAATCCATGCAGTAGGGCAAACAGACGCAGGGCCAGCAGCTGGAAGTGGCAGAAGAGCAGAAATTATTAATATATTTATATTATATGTATATTATATTATATTACATTATTTTACATTACATTATAATATATTATTATTAAAAAAATAATCGTTTTTTTCACTCACACATAGTTGATCATATTTGATATTATGTTTTATCAAACTAAACTCCAGCTGAGATAGTAAAGCCACGCACACACACACACATACACATATGTACATACATATGTCTACAATGTAGACTCTACACTCTCTCTACGCACTTGCTCTCACACGCATTCGCTCCTCTCTCGCTCTCTCAGCACACATTTCGATAAGCAGTCTGTCTAGCTTATTTTGCTTTGAAGCGAATATCACTTGCATCTGTAGCTGAATCACCACACCTACACACACACATGCTCACACATATGCATCTCTACTTACATGAAGAGGCAGAGTATCAATGCCCAGCAATGTGTTCGGCCCGAGGGTGTGCTCTTAACTGTTGTCACCACCTCGGCATGGCAGGAGGGGCAACGTATGCGTGTCGGTCCACTGCCAATGGGCACCAAATTGGATGTGGTTGTTGTCTGTATGATCACGGTGGATTGCTGGGGCGGCTGGGGCATGGGTGGATACAGTGGTGGCTGTGTGGGTCCGCCTGGATATGGCTGATAGGTCTGTGCGGGCGTATAGCCAGGCTGTGGTGGCGGCACTGCGCTGTATGGCGGTGGCTGTTTGCTCTCCATTGCTGAATAGATCTGTATCTCTCTTTCTCTTTCTCTCTGTCTTTCTCGCTCTCTCTGTGTATTCCACTCTCCTTGTGCAGCTCGACTGCACGGCTTGCTGGCTGTCGTTCGACTGAATTGGCTGTTAACTATACTCGACTTTACCTTACTTTACTTTTGCCATATCTGGCTGCCCTATTCAAGCCAATTCGTGCGTATCTTATCAGCTACTGCTGCTGCTGTTGTTGTGGCTATTGTTGGTGTTGCTCAGCGATTAGGCTCGAGCAAACTTTTATGCAAGCAAATTGGCTTAGCGAGTTTCTGGCTGTTTGTTAGCTTGTTTCCGCTCATCACAGTTTATTATGCACTCAAATACAAATATATTTATAAAGAGATCAGCTCACAATTCTGTATATGATGTATGTAAATTTTGTGACTCACAGGGGCTGTGACGTCGTTAGTATAACACGTTGCTTAAGTTCAATGAGACTCATATTGAGTATTTCACAATGTATGTACATATGTACATATATGTAAATATTGATATGGGAAATTGAATATGCGAAAGAAACAAAACTGATGCAAACACTGTTTGTAGAGTGAGCTGAAGGTGGAGCCAATGATATTTATAGATTGGCTATGGTTTATCGGCATATTAACCGTTAAAAATATACGAAGACAGTGGTTGTACGTATTAAAATTATTTTTAAACTGAGCAGTTTCCTTTTTGGTTTTATCTAATCTTGAGACTTATGAATCTGCACTATACAATAGACTTTTTCTAATATTAAAAGTACGTATTATCTAATCTTGACACTTGTAAAACTAAACAAGCATATAACAAGCCAATATACTTCTTATTAAATGTTGGGCAAAGCCTAAGAAATGATAAAATAATATATGAGTTAAAAATGATTTTGTATTTAAATTAATTGATTTTTATATTATGTTATATTTTTTTTATGTATTACTGTAGTATAGTATAGTGATATCAACTTTTCAGCGATCAATAAAGCAACCAAGCTTAAGGACCGATAAAGTTTTAAAATATGCCCACTGTGCAGAAACCACTAAACGCTCAATTCATAATGACTTAAATGACTTTTCAGAGCTGGGAAAAGAGAAAGAAAACAAAACAACAGCTCGGAAATATACATACATATGCTAGTTAGTTCCATGCATTCTCTAGTAGTCCAAACGGTTGTTTGTTTTGCAAATCAGTTCATCTGTCAACAACAACACACACACGGTTCGGAGAGCGAGCACTTTGTGCTCCCAGAGAGACGCGATGCATACTACTCGCACTCTCACGCATATATATGTACACAGACACAGCCTACGCGCAACTGCAGTTGACTACAATACATGTTACGCTGTTGTTATTTATTTTTTCACCCACGCGAGAGCTTTTTTAGCTGCCTGGTGAAAGCTTTTCCAGTGGCTTTTGCTTTTGCCATTTCGCCTTGGCGCTCTCAAGTTCAAACGTTAACATTTGAAGCCATGAAAATAATGTTAAGCAAATATGATAAAACATAGTTCGAAGAGTAGAAAACTAAATACATAGAAATATAATAAATATGAAAATAGTAGCCGCAAAATACAGACAACTGGTTTTTTCAAAAAAATTACTTGACAAACATTGAGCCAATGTTTCATTGTTTTTTGCTTTTGGTAGTATTGTGTTTCGTTTCATCTGTTTCTCAACGCGTCTGGTACTTTAACCCAAATTAAAATCAAATAAGAAACACTTGCGCACGACAGGCGACGCAGTACGCATCTAACATGAGCCGGCAATTGAGGTTCAGCATCCCGCAGCCAACATCCATGGAGACATGCCCATCCGATCTGGTGGAGATAAATTTAAATGCCGATAGAAAGTACACTAAGCAACAGTCGGCTCAGGTGCTAGACGAGTTGCTGCAGTCGAGAACAACAAAAACACTGCCCACGCATCGCGGCTATCCCTATGGCTATGGCGACACAGATGATGAGGCGGACTTTTACTTCTGCAAGAAATCCAATTCAACTGGCCAGCTGGCCGAGAAGGTATCGCCGCCGCCGCCATCTGCAACCAACATCAGCTGCTTGAGGCAAATGTACTGTCCGGAGTGCAACGAGCGACTGCATGAGCAGGGCGTGCGATTGGAACGTTTACTCACCATGTGGTAGGTTAAGTAAATCGTCTGCTGCTCACTTAACTTTTACTGTTACATTTTGAATTTATTTCTGCCTCAGTTGTTTTGCTTTGCTGCCCATTTATCCGTGCTGTATGCGTCGCTCCAAGGACGAGTGCAAGGTGATTTGTGGCAAGTGTGGCTATCTGCTGGGCGCCTGGAAGCGCCAGTGACACACGTATCTAGCATTTAAGTTTACTTTTATTTAGTTAAAATTTGTTTTTGTATGACGTTTGTTACTCTTTAAGCACCAATTGACCCTGCATGCCAAAAAAAAAAGATGAAAAATGTTTTGTTTTGTATTATAATTTTTGTTGAAGATGTGCTCGTAATATTTCGGCTCTCTCTCGTTCATTTGCTCTCCTTGCGCTCTCTTAAATTTGCTGTGTTGCTCTCCATCCCTCTCTCACACTAGTGTTTGCTGTGCCTCTCTCGTGTTTTCTGTTTTGGGCTAATGCCGTGTGCCGCCTGTTGCTGCTCACAGTCGCAATGTCAAACGCTTCGAAGGCAGCCGAGTTGCAGCTGGACAATGTGTCCGCTGCCACAGCCACACTGGAACAGCTGGAATTCCAGGAAGAGCTTCCACTGAAGCCGCAGTTGCGCTTCTATAGCGTTGGCCCTAGCACCTATCGCGTGCTCTGTCCACTCTGCCATCATCGGTCGCGCTCCGAGACAGTGCAAATGGCTGGAGCTTTGGGTCAGCTGAGTTGCCTGCTATCCGCCCTGTCCTGGTGGGTAGCTTTGGAATTTTATGTATAGACCTTCCGTATTCATGGCTCTACTCTTGCCTTCCAGCTGCTTTCCCATCTTTGCGCTGAGCTGCGTCTATACCTGCCTGCAGAGCCGCCTGAAGAGCAAGCGTGTCTTTTGCAGCAGCTGCGGCGGACATCTGGGCTTCCACTGGCGTCCCATTTAGTTATAATTTATTAAGTTTTCGCCACAATTTTTGCAAATGCTCTATAAATAATAATAAAGAATAAAAAAAGAAACATTCGCGCAGCTGTTGCCAATTTTCAACTATTTTTTGTTATTAGCACGCATATTTCCATCAACGCCTCCACTTAAGAGAGCTCCCACTCTCTATCTGTCTCTCTCTCTGTTTCTCTCTCTTCCGCTCTCCTCTCTCCTTTCACTAAGAATTGAAATTGATTGCCTTTGGCAATTTCGTTGATCAGCTTTTAGTTGCTCTGCGTTCGTCGTTGTCATCAAATGGAAAGCACTGAGAGCCTGGACGGCAGCGATTGTGATTTCAATGGCATCTCTGAGGTGCCACAGGTGGGTCACCTGCCCACTGAGCCGTTTGAGTTTGTTTGTCCCGCCTGCCAGCAGCTGCAGACAAGTCAGGTGGAATACGAGGCTGTCACCTACCTGCAAAAGATCACCTGTAGTTTGAATAAAGTGCTATGCTGGTAAATATACCTCATCTATACTCCTCTACCTTTTATTAATAGTATATTTTATATATTCTTCCTTTTAGTAATCCCATTCGCTGGAATGGTAGACAGGACATTAATCACTATTGCAGCGCCTGCGGCTGCTTCATTGGCCGCCACATCACTCTCAGCTGGTATAAGCGCGCTCTGTTCCGCATGCAGCGCTCCGAGGTGGAGGACTATGGACGTTGGCAGCGCTTCCGAAAGGTCGAGAAGGAACAACTTGATGAAAAGAAGCTGGGCAAACAGCGTGCAGCACTCACAAAGAACTAGTTCCAGGTTCAGTTTCATAATTAAAATATCATTTATTTACAAAACAAATTTAGTAAGCTGAGAACCCGTGATTCATTTAAATAAAAATATGAGCTATATATATTATGACAGATTGATGGTTTTTCATTCATACGAGGTACATTTTCCATGTTATACTCGATGTTTCTGTTCTTTTATATAAAATAATTAACAAAATAACACTTCTAATTCATTTATATATTCATAAAGAACTCAGAACACCAACTGTAAGCTTATTACAGTTTTCCGAAGCAAACCTTTAATTTTTGTGTACCTCTTATCAGAGCTAGTTCAAAGAATATGTATATAGAAACATACGAATATTCAAATTTCTGTGTTTATCGAAGCAAAGTGTAAAGCTTAAAGCTTTCAAGCTTTAATCAAGCTGCAGCTAAAAAGTATTAATTGCTTTGAGCTAATGAGCGCCAAAGCTCGCACACAGAATCAACTGTATTCGCTCTCATTTAATTTCAGTGCCAATGCAACTCGAAAAGTTCGCAAATACAAATACTAAAGCAAAACCGCACAAGAGAGTCTTCCAGCTGATTGCTGGCAAAGCAATTCCTATCACTAGAAAGCTTTTCTATATGCTCTCCAGCTGGAATTCTTTGAATACACTTACAAGCGAATTGCATTCTTGACTGGAAGAAACGCTCTCCTTCAGTATGCTTGCATATTTCGTCAAGGGAGCGGCTTCGTTATGTATTTGGTTCTGCTGGTGACCATTTTGTTGATCTTGCTTATGCAATATATAAGACGTATTTACAGTTATTGGCAGCGCGAGGGCGTGGATGAGGAGCCAGCGACATTTCCATTTGGCAGTATGCTTAAATTGCTGAAGAAACAACGTGGCTTTGGTTTGATCTTAAGCGATATCTACGAACGTCACAATTCTAAGATTGTGGGACTCTATGTCATGCACAAGCCCGTGCTGCTGGTGCGTGATCCTCATCTGGCCAGGCAGATCATGACCAGCGATTTTGCCAGCTTTCATGATCGTGGCATGTATGTGGACGAAGAGCATGATCCTCTGTCGGCCAATCTATTCAACTTGCAAGGCGCCTCATGGCGCAACTTGCGCCAGAAGCTGACGCCCTCCTTTTCCTCGGGCAAGATCAAGGGGATGTTTGACACGATCGACGACGTGGGCGATCGACTGGTGCAGCATTTACAGGGCATCGTCGACAAGGCTCCAAATGAATCTATCGAAATGAAGGCCATACTTACAACGTTTGCCGTGGACATTATAGGATCGGTGATCTTCGGACTGGATATCGATAGTTTTACCGATCCGAAGAACGAATTTCGTGCTATAAGCGATTCACTTCTATCAGAGATCGGTATTCTGCTTAGGATTCACAACTTGGCCACTATTATATTTCCTCCGTGAGTCTTCGACTCCAGATCATCTCTCGATCTATTTCTGATTAACAGTTTATGTCTACCTACAGATTAGCGAAGCTCATGAATCGCATGGGTTTTGAGAATAAGGTTCTTGGCAAGCTGCGCGATATTATGAAGCGTACGGTCGAGTTCCGGGAGAAGAACAATGTAGTACGCAAGGATCTATTGCAGTTGCTTATACGACTACGTAACACAGGCAAGATCGGAGACGACGACGACAAAGTGTGGGATGTTGAAACCGCGCGGGAGGAACTGAAAGCCATGTCTATTGATAAGATAACCGCTCAAGGTTTTCTCTTCTATATCGCCGGCTCGGAGACCACGGCGGCTACATCAGCCTTTACGCTCTACGAGCTGTCCATGTATCCGGAACTACTAAAGGAGGCACGCGATGAGTTGGACGCGGTTATGGAGCGACATCAGTTGAAGAGAGGAGATAAGTTTACCTATGAGGCAGTGCAGGATCTGAAATTCTTGGATATGTGTATTATGGGTGAGTATCTTTGATATCTATATACATATGTATTACTAATATTTATCCTTCTTCTTATTCAAACAGAAACTATCCGTAAATATCCGGGTCTGCCTTTTCTCAATCGAGAGTGCACTCAGGACTTTCTGGTGCCGGATTTGAATTATACCATAAAACGGGGCACAGGCATATTGATTTCGCTCTTTGGTCTGCATCGCGATGCCAAATACTTTCCCAATCCCGAGGACTATGGTCCGCATCGATTTGATGCCGATAATATGAACTACAACCAAACTGCATATATGCCCTTTGGCGAGGGTCCCAGGCACTGCATCGGTGCGTTTCTTTTCCATTATCTCAATATACTATATACATATATTCATATCCCTCTATATTTCTTCTCTATTCCAGCAATACGCATGGGCAAGGTCAATGCCAAAGTGGCTGTGGCCAAAGTCTTACTCAATTTCGATTTGGTTCACGCTCCACGCAAGGAGGTCAAATTTCGCTTTGATCCGGCGCCCGTCCTGCTGCCAGAGGGCGGTCTGCATGTGCGCCTGGTCAAACGTGCCTGATTTTTAATTACATTCTATCAAAAATAAATGTAATATATATGTTTGTGCTTTATTGATATGCAAAACAAACACACCGCTAAACACATATAGAAACTTTGCAAATAAAAAATCAAAACAAATCAAAGCAAAGCTGAAATGTAAACAAAATGAAAATGAAGCAAACAAAGCTTTTGCTTGCTCTTCAAATTTCAAGTTCAAGTGAGAGAGCGAACGAGTGAGTGAACGAGAGAGAGGTTCACATTAACTATGTGGTGTGTGTGTGTGTGTAAACTGTGAATGTTAAATTATGCTCTGCCTCTCTCGTTCGCTCATATTTCGACAGTACTGACTTGCTTCAGCTAAGCCGGCGAAAGCAAAGAATCAAGAATCAAAACAAAACAGGAAACAGGCCAAAAATTTAAAGTTAAACTGAGCAAGTTAGAGTGAGAGAGATCGAGCAACAACAAGTGTGTGTTTTCAGTGTTTGAAGTAATCAAACAAGCTTCTGTCTCGCTTGCTCTCTCTTGGAATTATGGCTGCCTTAACTCGATTGTCAGCTGCTATGCAAAATGAAGTCATGGAAATTATCGTCAGGCGGCAAAAAGAATCCATATAAAAAGGCAGTTGAATATGGATAAAAATGTATTTGATAAAGTGTTTTGATTCAGTGCATGTGTGAGGATCGGGACTATGGACTGGCCATATCAATTTGTGTATAGACGTCAATACATGGGAAATAGGCAGACTAACAACAGGACTGCTCGAATATATCAACCGTTAATATATATCCGTTTATTCCATTATAAATTCCTAACCTTCGATTATAGCTTTAAGCATTGCATAAGTAAAATATTTAAGTTCAAATATGAATATGCAATATTCTTATTGGACCATAATATTGCAGGTCAAGAATTGGCTTTTGGATATTTGGCTATACCCAATTTTATCTCATATCCTGTGCCGTCCAGATGCATCCATATGTTCCATCGAGGCGTGCCAAAAGTCAGAAAATATTCTATAAGCAAAAATAATGAAACGCAAAAGTATTTCGGAAATCTGACAGCTCAAGTGTACTATTAATATATATTTATGTATATATGCACATATATGTATATAGATATCTATGTGTAGATAAATATATATGTGGCCGATCTTTCGATGGTATTTCGTAATGTTTCACATTTGTTAAGCATATAAACAAAAGTCAATTTGTTTGCTGCTCTGGTTTTTTAGTTTTGTAATTTTCGCTTTGTCTGCCAAACAGAATGGCTCCAGTGGAATGACGATAATGATGATGATGATGATGATGATGACGACGATGACATCATAAGCGAACCAACAGAACAAGAGATACATATTACCCATACGCCCCGTGAGCGCATGCTCTCCCGCTCACTCTCTCTTTTGGTCGCTCTCTCTCTCCCTTCCCCTCGATAGTGAAACGTTTGCTGCTCGTCGCTGGCATCGGCAGCTGCTCGAGACAGTTAACATGGAGCCGCAGACGCTACAGATCAAGCTGCTGCCCGCCCGGACAGCGGAGGAGCGTGCCCGAAACATCATTGCCAATGTAGTTGTGGAGGGTCAGCAGGCATTCCTGGTGCCCTATATCGATGATCATGATGTGGGCCAGCCGCTGGAGAAGATTACGCTGAATACGCAGCTACAGGCGGCAGCTCCAGCTGCCCCTCGCTTGCGGTACTACAAGCCAGGCCCATCCACGTACAAGCTGCTCTGCCCGCTGTGCCGCGAGAGAAGTGATGCGGCTGTGATGCGTGCCGCCGGCTGCAAGGACATCAGCTGCTGCCTCAGCCTGCTGAGCTGGTGAGCTAGACATAGCTACACTCTGGCCATACCCTGTAATTAATTTCATAATTTTATCTTCTATTAGTGTTTTTCCCATTTTCTGGATTTGCTGCATTTGCACCTGGTGCGGCTGCAACCGCGAGTGGATCACCAAGGGCGTCTACTGCAGCCACTGCGGCGGCAAGCTGGGCATCCAGACGCGTTCCGATTAGGTCAATTAAAATTTGTTACAAATGTCACGCATAGTTTGTTTTTAATTCTATTACGCAGCTAACTCAATTAAAATACGCTCGCTCTTGCCGTCTGTCATCATTCCTTCGTCTCTCTCCACTCTGCCACTCTCCCTCTCTTTGTTGCTCTCCCGCTCTCACTCGTTTACTGTTGGTCGCTCTCTGGCTGCTGTCCAAACAGGTTGCGCCTTGGCTCTGGCCACATTTTGCTTTCAGTTTGGAATTCGTTCAGCTATGGCCACAACAACTGAGGAGCAGCAGCAGCAACAGCAGCAGCTAAAGCAGGCAAAAAAGGAGCTGGAAATCTACGAGAATTTCGCCACACCTTTGCCGGGCACCTTTCTCAATTTGCCGCAGGAGTCCGTGCTGCTCAAGTGTCCGTCCTGTGGGATTAAGGATAAGACAGTGGTGGAAAACGATCTGAAATGGTGGGCCAGTGAGCTGAACCGCATTGTTGGCTGCGTCTTTGTGTAGGTCATGATTGAACAAGTGAGAAGTGAGGCAACAGTGCTAATCCTTGAGCATTTTCATTCCAGCACCTTCTGCTGCTGCTGCTGCCTGGACTACATTGTGCCCTGCAAGCAAACCGATCGCAGTCATTATTGCGGCAACTGCGGCTGTTACTTTGGACGCGCCATGAAGCGACGAGCTCCACTCAAAATCAAATAGAGCAACAACCAAAAGTTACCTTTACCCAATAAAAAATTGTATGATCTAGCATAACATTAACTGATGCTCGCTCTTGATTTTTTCACACAGGGGTCAAAAGTACTCAACGAGAGAGCGCAATGGCCAATCAAAATTACCCACCCCCAAAATATATGCACAAGCATAAGTCATTTCGTATCTCTCCCGATACCGCTCTCTCATCTTCTAGTTTCTGCATTTGTCTACCATTTCGCTCTCCAGAGCTTTTGTTCAGTCTCCATTAGTACGCGCTGCTAACAACACGCTGTCGCCTGTTGCTCTTCACTTTACTTTACACTAGTCAGCATGGTTGAAGAACTGACGCCCGTCTATTTTGCCGTTGGCCCCAATGCTCGGGAAGTTACCTGTCCGTATTGCAAGGTGCTGGCGAAGACTCGGCTGGTGCGTTCCTGGCCGCACTTATGCACTAAACGTCATCACTGCGGCGCTTGCGGCGAATATCTGGGTGTCTACAGGCGACCCCAGCTATAAGCAACTTAAAACCCTTTTAGTTTTTATATAGTAAAATAAAAAAATATGCCGCTGTTTTTATATCGAGTGTGTTATTTAATTGCTAGTGCATAAGGAGAGCAGCATATACATATGAGACGTTCACTCTTGCTCCTTCGCTCTCAGCTCCGTTCTTTAGTTGCTCTCATTCGGGCTTTTCAATTGAGCGTGCCAGAACAGCACGTCTCACTGTCGCTCTTTCACTCTGTCTGTCGCTCATTTAGAATTCTTTCCGCTCTCATTTGACTCTATTCGTTCTGCTGGGGCGTCGCTGGATTCAGTTACGCCTGTTCGGTTACAGTGTGAGCATCATGACCGCAGTGGAGCCGCAAGTTGTTGCCATAAGCATCGGCAACCTCAAGGCCCCGGTGGGTTACTTGCAGCCGGAGCCAACTATGGTCAATTGTCCAGCCTGCGAGCACTTTGCCATGAGTATTGTGGCCCATGAGACAGTCAGCTATTTGCAGCGAATTCTCAGTCTAACCAGGCTATGGTGAGTATAACTATGTAAGATATCTCTACTATATACTATAACCGTTATTCTTGCAGCCGCAAGTGGTCGGGTCGTCACGATTGCAATCACTACTGCGCCCACTGTGGCTGCTTTATAGGACGCTATGTGCCCATTGGATGCTACGAGCGCTGCCTGTCCAGATCGGCACGACGAAAGGCCGTTTTGGACGAAATGCATCTGAAGGTGAAGCCCAGGGATTGTGCTGTGCGTGCCCAAAAGCTAAGATCAGAGATTCTGGCCAAGCGAGCGGAGAAGCGCGCTAAAGCTGAGGCGCAGCAAGCGAATCAAACTGTGCTGCCCAACCAATGAGCACGAACAGTTGTCATTCGGCGAATTGGCCAGATGGTTGGTGTCTTGTCTAATTGTGCATGCCAAAGCATAAGTTGAGCTCTGTTAAATGGTGCACATTTTTTGTTGTTTTGACTAAGTTAGCTTTTAAAAATGAGTTGCATTGAAATAAATGTAATTCTTTTATTTGCAAAATATTTAGCAAATGTATATAAATTAAAAATTAAATTAAGACCAATTGATCTCATTGAGCAGTTGTCTAGGCTAAATTAGCTTTTAAATAAGGCGCATTCAACAGGTTGTTATCTTAGCTAAGCTTGCCGTGCTGCATATTCAACAAGTCCCAATTGGGACATTAGCAGTTGGTGTACTAGCTAAAACAACAACTTTCTCTTAACATTTCAAATGCATGGAAATATTTAGTTTTATTCGTAATTGCAGCAAATAAAATTTATTTAGTACTTGGCACAAATTCCCGATTGGGTCGTATGCAATTGCTTTCGCGATCATAGATGCCCAGGAAGCTCTTGCAGTTGGCACAGTGCAGATACTCGCGATTGTCCGACGACTGGAGGCACGGCAGAAAACAGAAGGGCCAACAGTTGGCCACACAGGAGGCCGGACAGCCGGTGCTCGTATAGAACTCGCTGCTGGTCTTGATCACCGGCCGTCGATTGACGCCACAGCTGGGACAATAGATGCAGCCCTCGGTGGGTACCCAGCGCTCGATGGAGCTGCGATAGAATTGCCGACGGCCCAGTTCCCTCGAATCCGTTGTCATTGGAGCTGAACGAGTCGGCTCGCGCGCATCGCCCTGAGACTTGCGCTGCAAATCTGATAAGGGAGCATAATTTGTATGCCTCAGCTATATACCTATAGGAAGAGCTACACTTACAGCGCTCGGCTTCGTCGGCCATCTGCACCTCGGACAGGCCGGTCATCTTGCTAATCTCCGAGAGACGCTCCTGGCTGATGCCATGCTCGGCGGCCAGCTTGTGCAGATTGAGCAGCTTCTCATTGGCCGTGTCCGCCAGGATTTCCGGATGATCCTTCTGCACGTGATGCACCAAGCAGCTGGTGTCGTAGCGCGAGCACTTTATGATCTTCAAACACTTCAGACAGCGTAGATACTGCACATCGGTTGGTGCTGCTGGGCTGGACATAACTGATGGGCATATGTATGTATAAATATGAATATATATGTAAGTATATTCTTAGTTAACGCACAATTTATGAATATGTTTGTGTTTGATCGTTCGTGTTTAGATAGTCAAAAAATTACTAGTTTCAAGATCCAACAGTTTGGACAGCTTTAGGTGAGCCAACTCGGTTTGAATAAGTGTATAGAAAGCAAAGTTTTACGTATTGCGTATTACGTATTGCGTATTGCGTATTGCGTATTACGTATTGCGTATTACGTATTGCGTATTACGTATTACGTATTACGTATTGCGTTTTACGTATTACGTATTACGTATTACGTATTGCGTTTTACGTATTACGTATTACGTATTACGTATTGCGTTTTACGTATTACGTATTGCGTATTACGTATTACGTATTACGTATTGCGTTTTACGTATTACGTATTACGTATTACGTATTGCGTTTTACGTATTACGTATTACGTATTGCGTTTTACATATTACGTATTGCGTTTTACGTATTGCGTATTACGTATTGCTTATTACTTATTGCGTATTACGTATTGCGTATTACGTATTGCGTATTACGTATTGCGTGTTCCGTACCGCGTATTACGTAACGCGTTTCCCGTAACGCGTATTACGTAACGCGTCTATGGGTAAAGCTTTCAAAATCTTTGATTATTATGGAATCTTTGCTTAATATCCTTGCTTTCAATGCTGTATCTATAAATAATTTTATGCGTATGTGTATATGTTTATTTATATTTATTTAAATACTATATATTCCAAAAGACACTTTAAATATTTATTTCGCTACCTCAATACATCAGCCTTAAAGGAACTTTATGAAAAGGAAGTCCTTTATCTCTTGTAGAGACAACCCATTAACAATGTTAAGCGTAGCCTGCAGCAGTGGAGTTTTTGTTGTCGACTTTGTATATAAAAAACGCAAATCTTCCCCTCTCGCTCACACTCTCGTCTTCTCTGCCACTCACACATTCATCTATGTATCCATAATTCCATTGAAGCGTTGAAATTTTATTGTCTGTCATGTGCCTCAGAGCAGATTCATTCATTTCTAGTCATGGCAACATGGAAAATAAAGTCATATGAATATCCCGGCGAGATGTTGGCAAGGGGGCGTGGCTAGGGCCCGGCACAGGTGCGGTGTCGTAGCGGAAGCGACACAGCCTGAGACACTTGGCAATTCGGTAGAGGGTTTCCTTTATTCTTATATTCGAGTCTTATTTTTTGTCTATTTCTGTTTTTTTTTTTGGCGCATTTCATCAAAATTGATTTTCTTTTTCTTTTTTTAGGAGCAGAATGAGGTTGTCATTTGGCTGTGCGTGGCTTTCACTTTCACTTTGACTTGCGCACGATTTGTTGACTGACTGCCGCCTGCCACGCCCGCTCTACCCAAAACCCGTCCGTTCGTCCGTCCGCCTTGCTTTTTATTTGAGCGCGTTACTCATACGCAGCGTGAAACGCACGAAAAAAACGAACACGTCTGCATTTCTCAGCGTACTTCACGTAATTGCTGCCTCCTTTGTCTGCCTGCGTCCCTTATTGTTGGCGACGAAGGCGAAGGCGTGGCATGGCAGCTCTTCCCACTTATTGGCCAACAATGCTGGCCAAGTGCTTAGATCTGTTATTGAGTGGATGCTTTAAAAGTTTTCTCTTTACATTTTATTCATAGTTTTCTGCTTACATGTACATATATAACTCTCTCCCCCCTTCTCTCTCGCTCTCTCTTTCTTGCTTATATAAAAATACAGTTTTCCACATGTGTGAGTGTGTCTGTGTTGTGTGTTTCTTTGTGTGTTTTGGCTTTGGAAGCTGTTTCTCTTAACACTGAATTACTTAAATTAAGAATTACAATTCGCTGAATCCAAAAATGTTAACATGATTTCTCGTTATTTGCCCAACTCTAGACACGCACACACAGACATACATCGATTTGTATACATATATATGTATATATATATATTGTAATTGTAGGTAGCATCCGTTTCGCTGCAAGGTGCAACCAGGTGTGGCTAATAGGAAATGCGTTACTTGTTTACTTTACTTCCGTTGTCTCTCAATTTCTAGCTTTCTGCTTCAGCAAATTGGTGTCTCTTGGTGGTTGTTGTTTGTTGTAGTTCTTTGCATATATAATTATATATCTCTAAATATATGTATATATACCTGCATATAGATGTATGCATTGTTGTACCTAAGCGTATTTGAAACGTCTCTCGTTTCATAGAAAAATAAAATCTAGCTTGTAAAATTGGACTATTGCCGAGTTGGCATTCAAAATGCCATTTCAGCTTTCGCATATGTACAACGATCTTCCCACTCTCTCTCTCTCTCTCCGTCTCTCTCTGTGTGTGTGCTTTACAAAAAATGAATTACTTTTAGTTAGTTGTGTAATTTCAACTTGTTTTTCCCACGTTTCTGTTGTGTTCTGGCTCTCTTAACTAATCTACTTTTACACACTTTGAGGCACATTCAGTTTGAATCATTTTACAAATTTATAAAGTTGCGCTACATAAAAACAAAACCTTCCCCCTCCCCTCTCTCTCTCTCTCTATCTCTCTCTCTGTGCTGGGCACCTGCTTGGCGCTGCCCTAAAACTAATTGTTAAAATTAAAAATTGATTTGAAAGCGCACGAGCTGGCGCTCAGCCAACTCGAATCCAACTCCAACTCGATAGCAACTTTTTAATCTGCAGCATGTCCATGCTCCATATTCCATATGTACCAACTCCTTGGCCTGCTGCGCGAACCGTCATGCATTTATCACTGGCGTGTCGCCATGCGGCTGGCCCCGTTCGGGTCGCCCCCCCCTCTGCCCGGCCTTAGAGCGTGTTCTGTTTGGCCGCATCGCCGCATTTGGCAGCTGCCTCAAGGCGGGCACGTGGGCGCCGCTTGGTCTGCAGGGAATAGAGACGACCGCTGCGTGTTCGCATCTGTGGCTCCGCACCGTCCCGACCACCAGATCCGCCACCGCCACCGCCGCCGCTGCTGCTTATCGTGGTATGATGAAACGCTTTAGACTGAATTGCACAACAAAATGAGCCGAATGGCTGGCTACTCACTTGAGCTCCAGCTTGGCCAGACGCTGCTTGATTTTGGCCTGGCTGGCCGTGTACTCGGCCAGCAGGCGCGCCAGTCGCATGTTCAGGTTCTCCACGGACAGCTCCAGCTTCTCGATGCCGCCCTCGATGCTGTCGTGCACGCGCTGCGAATCTGTGTGTGGAGCAGAAACGGAAGAAACGGAAGAAACGGAATAACGGAAGTTAGCTAGCTGCCGGAAGTGGCCGAAAATGCTGTGTGCCCACATATACGTAGATATATGAGCGGCGATTACCCGCAAAGATCTGCTCGTCCAGCAGCCCGTCCTTGCGCAGCAGCTGACAGCCGCGCTGGGTGAGCGTGGAGCGCGCCTCGGGATAGTCGGCTAGCGTTTCCCACAGATCCCGCTTGGCCAGACAGAAGAGATCCGAGTAGCCGAGCGAGCGTACGTTCGCCGTCCGTCGATTGCCCGTCCGGTTGCCCGCTATCTCCAGCACGGACACCTCGCCGAACACCGAGCCAGCGCCCAAAGTGGCCAGCACGGTGACGCCATTGTCGCCCACGACGGACAGCTTGCCCCGCTTCACAATGTACATCTCCTTGCCGACGTCGCCCTTGCGGCAGATGTAGTCGCCGGGACTGAAGACCTGCAGCTTCAGCTTCAGCACCAGCGCCTCCAGCAGGCCCGGCTCCGTGTCGTGGAAGATGCGCACCTGCTTCAGCGTATCCATGTGCACCTGTATGGCTATCTCGGCTTTCAGCTTGTCCGGCAGCGCCGCCAGCACTCGCTCCTCGTCCAGGGCACCGCTCTGCGACCAGGTGTACGCGAACCAGCGTATCACGCGCGCCTCCAGCTCATGGCCCACACGCCGGAAGGCCATGTACTGCTTGACGCCATCCATGCGATTCTGGAACTCCACCCGCGCCACATTCATGTTGGATATCATCGAGCCGATGTTACCTGCGGAGCAATGTGGTTTTCATAAAATGTTTTGTGGTGTAGCTATGTGCAATGATTCGTATGTTTACAGGGTATCTGCAGGGTATCTACAGGGAGTCTACGGTGTATGTTCAAGATATATACAGGATATTTAAAGGGTTTGTATGGGGTATCTCCAGGGTACTTATAAAGTAATTTTAGGGTATACATAGTGTTGCTATATGATATCTACAGGGTATCTTGAGCGCATCAAGCTATCTATCAGCTAGTACAGCTCAGACAGTAGTCAATCCTCTACAAAATCTTTTAACTCTATGATTTTCCTGCGCATATGGGCATTATTAATGTTTCATATTCACAGGGTATTCGCAAGTCAAGCACATTCCTGTCTAGCAAACGTGCATCTACTACATTTTCATCTACATACATACCTACATACATATCTTTCTCTTACCCATATCGACGCCATTATGAGACATTGTCAATCAATATTATCAAATATTCAAATAATGGATCGGGTATCTGCCTAGTCGAGCATGCATGCAATTCATACTTTTATTGCCTGTTTTGTTAGAGACTCGTTTTAATTTCGACAGCCATTTCCGTTGCGCCACTTGTGTGTCGTAAATTCTTCAAGGGGCCCACGCGTAACGCAACGGAACGCGTGGCACAAAGGCGACTAATGGCGGCACTTCCGGTGCACAGAGGACCACGCAGACAGACAGACAGACAGACAGAGAGAGACAGACAGCATTAGCATCTTCTCCATATGTACATATGATGGTAAAATATGCCACTTTGACGAACTTTGCATTCATCATGGGTAAGTAAATTTGTTTGCCCAGATGTCAGACGAGGACAAGAGCAACAGCACCAGCGGCAGCGGCAGCAGCAGTAGCGGCAGCAGCAGCGGCAGCAGCAGCAGCAGCAGCAGCAGCAGCAGCGGCAGCAGCAGCAGCAGCGGCAGCAGCAGCAGCGGCAGTAGCAGCAGCAGCAGCAGCAACAGCAGCAGCAGCGGCAGCTGCCCGGTAATGGCAGCGATAAGCAGGACGACAAAAATGATAAAAAGGCACGTTTGCCAAAAAAAAAAAAAAAAGAGAAGAAGAAGAAGAGGAAGAGCGTGGCGAATGTGAAGGCGTTGACAGCAACAAATCAACCCTGCACATGCTAAAATGAAAAACAAAACAAAGTAGAGCAGCAGCAGCAGCAGCAGCAGCAGCAGCAACAATAATGAATAATGTGGCTCGGAGACGGTGCTGGGTACGGACTCCGAAAGGGACACGGACGTGTGGGTCGTTGTCCCTGACGTACGTGGCGGGCTGTAAATTAATACCCATTGATGTCACAGATGTCACTCGGCAACCAATTAAACGATCAGACGAAATATTTGCGTAAACAATGCGCCAAAACAAACAGGCGAGAACCCAAAATGAAGCGAGCTGTCCTCAGACTCTGACTCTGTCGCTACAAAGGACCTTAACTAGAAAGCTATATATGTATATGTATATATATACAGTACATAGATTTGCATTTGCGTATCTACTCACCCACAATGGTGGCAAAGATGAGGACGCCGGCGAGAAAGTCGGCGACCACAAATAAATATTCAACATCATTCTCGGGCGTCGGCGTCTCCCCAATCGTCGTCAGCGTCAGCGTTGACCAATAGAAGCTATAGATATATTGTCGCTGCAGCGTATTGTTTCGCGTTCCATTCAAATTGTAGACCCACGAGTCGGAGCTGAAGCCAATCTCGTAGCTGATGGCAAAGTACATGCACGCATTCCAATGGATCAGCACCAGAATGGCCAGCACCACCTTGCAGATGCGAAAGGCATTTGGGTAGCCCGTGGCCGTCTCGGTGCGATCGAACCACTCCCAGAGGCGGGGCAGGCGCAGCAATCGATTCAGCCGCACAATCACCGGACAGGGCAGATACAGGCTGGAGCAGGTCTCCGGCGGCCACCAGATGTAGGCCAGGTCGGTGGGCAGCATGGACAGCACGTCCAGGTACCAGCCCTTGGTGTGGAAATAATGACGCCGCAGCCGGAACGCATCGCGCACTAGGAGACCCTGGTCCAGAAAGCCTGCGGATGGAGACGAAAGTTGTATTAAATACGGCCGGGATCAGCATGCTGTGTGCGGTTGGCCCTGTGCGTGTCCGTGTGCGTGGGCGTGTGGTTATGCCTTTTGGTTATTGTTTTTCCCTATGCCACATGCAGCGTGGCATTTCACAGTTGGCAGCGCAACAGAAATGCAAAACTTGAACTAAAACTTTGATACCCTTGCAGCAGCCACTGGATAATCCGCTTTGTTTATTTGCACAAATCCTTTGCAGGATTTGAGCATTTGACTGAGAAGTCTTCAGTGGGCTAAAGCTGCGAGCTCAGTTTGCTTGAACAAGATTTCCAGCCGGGCTAATGGAATTCTTAATGCGGACACTACTTAAGAGCTTGAACTGAGAAACTGTTAAATAATTTTCAATTATTATAGTTCGAATTAGGCATATTTTCTAAGTGCTATTAACATGGCGAAGAGCTGAACAGAGCTTTTATATTAGCAAACAAAAATTCGCCTGAGCTAAGAGTCCAAGCGCAAGTGAGAGTCGAAGTTGAAGTCTAAGCTTAAGTTCATGTCCAAGTCAGAGTCGAAGTCTAAGCTTGAGTTCATGTCCAAGTCAGAGTCAAGGTCTATGATCAAGCTTATGTCCAAGTCCAAGTCCAAGTCAAATTCAATTCAAATTCCAGGCCCAGTTCTAAGTCCAAATCAAAGTCAAAGTTCAGGACCAGGTCCAAGTCCAGGTCTATGTCTAGTTCTAGATCCAAGTCCAAGTCAAAGTCCAGGTTCAGGTCCCAGCAGGCCAGACCCAAGCCGATGTCCAGGCTCAGGCTCAGGCTAGGTCCAGCTCCAACTCCAGCTTCCGGTCTAGGTCCAGGCTCAGTACTCCTAGTCTTAATCTTACTCAGCTAAAAATCGCTGTACGGCTAAATTCTACAGCCCAAAATCAGTATTTTGAAATGCAAAATACGAAATGTTAAATTCTGAACCAATACAATATGCAAATAGCTAGAATCCAACTGATTTATCTGCTACTCTTAGCTAAGTCCTAAGCTAAGACCTACAGCTCAGATAAAGCCGCACTCAAACTGTTGCAGGGGATTTGTAGCCGAGGCAATTCAGTTCTCATTTACGCTGCAGCTGCGTCTCTCATCTTATTTTCAACAGAAAAGCAAGAGAACCTTAGTCTCATTATTTTGAAGTGTAAGCTGTGAACTGAACTAGTTGTGAACTATTACAGTTAGCGCATTCTTTTCCATCAAATTTCGTGTTTGCTTTGCTATTCAGTTTTATCTCGACTCGCTTCACAAAGTGACAATGCTCACGGCGAGTGTATTCCATAGAAATCCCTTTTGTTGTTGCCGTCTGAAATGTCAAGGCTGGCTTATTCCTGCATTTGGCAACTCGCAGACAAACACACACACACACACACACACACACACACACACATACATACATATGCTGATGTATGTATTGTATATGGAAGCACAAATGGTTTTTGCTGGCAACCATTGTCTGCCCCGGCTTAGTCAGAGCAAAAGCCACCAAGTCTCATTTGCATAAGCAGTCGCAGTCGCAGTCGCAGTCGCAGTCGCAGCACTACCAGCAGCATCACTTCTCTGCCCCTACCGCCGCCTCGACCGTCGCCAGTCTGCTGACTGACTGAGATGGGCAACTTACCTTCGTGCATGTGCACCAGCGTATCCAGCAGGTAAATGAAATCGCACAGATAGTCCAGCGTGTACCAAACGGCGGGCGCATTCTTGTTGATCTCCCAGAAAACGGAACGGCCCACCACAAAGATGATATTATAGAGCACCGCCAGCGAGACCACAGCGAGCCACTGTCATAGTACATACATACACATATACATATATATATATATATATATATACATGCTCGATTAGCTAATGGATTGGCATGGGTTACAAGTTCTTGATGACTTACCCTGTAATGGGACTGCAGTGTGGGATCCACGGAGAGGCGATTGCATAGAGCGCTGCTGCCGCGAATTTCGCTCGATAGCGCCGCATCGTCCATGGCACCGGTTTTGCCTATTTTGTCCGTGTTGGTGGCATTCGAGAACTTCTCGAGGAACCAGTCCGGCGGTTTGGCGCGATTCCGTTTTGTCAGACGTTGACGCAGCGCCTGCAGCGTGCGTCGCAACGCTGACGGTTTGCTCCCCTTGCTCGGCTCCTGCAGATACAAAATGTCAGAGTATGGCATCAAGTTTATTTCACAAAAAGTTTATCGACCCTGTTCCCGCTTCTGGCCGTCCTCCTCTCCCCCTCCCCATCCACCATCCCCGCTAGTCATGCGAAATGTGCCACACAACTGGCGCTAGCTAATTGAAACATTTTAATGGCCATCTACATTGCCTTTGTGCGCTCGGTCGGGGTAACCACATTAAAACTTGGTCAGCATCTTGTAAGTTTGACGCTTAAATTTTGTTATGTCTGCACAGCTGCAGCAGGGCAAGCGACTCTGGAGCTCGCACCAAGGGAAACTATGTATTCTCGCTGAAGTTTGTATAGATATACACATAGCTGAGCTGTACAAGTCTTCCTATTGAGTGCGTTATGTTTCACTTAAGCTTTAAGTGATGGATCACATAAAGGCGATGCCATAGATGGAGGATTATTCAATTATTGCTTTAGCTGCTGCTTAGGACTTGGCAAGCAGCAGAAGCTTTGGTAAGCATAAGCAATCAACATGTTCTGGGAATGAATAGTAAATTAAAATTGCCCTTCTATGCGATTTTCATAAGTGTCCAACATTTATACATATACTCTTTAAGAGGAGTATGCTTATACATACTGATAATAATCTAAAGTGTTCAATCAATGCTTGGTCTAAATGTCCATGACTCTTCTTTGCGATTCTCATGCAGTCAAGTTAAGCTTTTAAGTGTTACACTGTTTGTGATTTTTGTCACGAAATGCTTAATAAGCAATCAATATATATGTTGTATGTTTTTTGTTTTGGCTAATAATAAAGGGTGATTCACACCAAGTAAACCTTGCCCTTCTCTGCATTTCTCATATATCCAAGTAGGGGAGTTAAATTTGTATAATATTAATGTATAATATATAATATTACTAAAATAATATAAATCCATTAAAACGAGCGAGTCATTGCTTTAATATACAAGAGCAACCATCTAGACGATTCTCGAAATTTCATAAAGCCTTTTAGCTAACATACATAGAAGTGTCAATACAAATTACACTCTCACTTAGATCTGTTTATCTTTTGCTATCATATGTCTTGACTACAGGGTATCTCCTTATCAATCACACTCAGTCATATCATCATACTAATGACACTGAACACTTTGAGGTCAAGAGGGTAACAGCACATTTAGTTAACAGACAAGTTAGTCTTGGTGCTTATGCTAGGGGTTCCCATAGCATCTAAAGTTTATACTACATACATACATATGTATAAACATTGTACACATACGAATACATATGTTGGTATGTGAAAACTTTATGGCTAGCACGCACACACACACACATGTGCCATCACACACGTGATGCTTGTTTCGCGTTTACTCTGCACATCCTGAGATTAGGGGCGTGTGCTTGACAGTCTAATAAACGCGTATCAGTCGCTGCCAGCGGTTAATCCATTAAGCTATATAGCAACGCATGACTCCCTATGCGTGGGAGAGTGTGTGTGAGTATGTGTGTGACAGTTGGTATGAAAGTTGGGATTCAATGTGACGCATATGTATATCGCTATCTATATAGCAGCCCTTTGGGCGCAATGCTAATGACAATGCAATGCCACGCCTCCCGCTGCGCCCAGCTGTAGTGAAGGTCGCACACACACACACACACACACACAGACACACAAGCAAACTTTTGGTATTTATTTATGTACTACTTTAAGCTGACATTTACCGCATCGTTCTGTTGTGGCAGTTGTTGCTGTTGTTGTTGTTGTTGTCCGGCTATGGCTGCTATATCCAAAGATTGCACCATGGCTTTGACTTTGAAATGTCGCATGCAAACGCGACGTTAATGTCGCACGCGTCTTTTGTCTCTCTCTCTCTTTCACTTGGCACTTTCAATTTGAGTCGTTAACTTTAACCTACAACTGTTAGGAATAGCGTTTTAATTAAATACCGTTAGCCTTTTTCGCAGCTGCGCATGCGCGTCGACGTCGAATGGCCCGTTAGCACTGGAAAAAAAAATGCGTTGCGCGCTTTGCATCTGCCATTGAAGGCAATACTAGCAACGTCGCGACGTCAGCAGCGACGCCGACGTCGAAGTCGACGTCAAAGTCACGAACGCGCTGCTCTGGCCACGGCAGGCATACACAATAACTAAATGTGGTTTGTTGTTGCTGCTGTTGTTGTTGTTGTTGCTTTTGTTGCTGTTGCCAATTCGAATTGCCGTTTTTTCTTTATTTTATTTTGTTTTTTTTTTTTTTTTTTTGCTGCTGCTGCTGTTGTATTTTGCAATTTTCTTAATTTGCATGTGCCGACGTCGGCGATGTCGTCGGCGTTTAATTAATTAACCCGCAAAAGTCTCAAGTGACTTGAGTCCTTCATTGCCAGCGCCACCTGGCAGCCGCAGCCGCAGCCGCAGCCCCAGCCAGAGGACAAAAGACTTGTTATTGTTGTTGTTGTTGCTGGTGCTATTTGTGTGGGGTGTGGATACTATAGCCATTGATGGCAATTTGACAAGATTGATGACACTTTCAGCTGAACTGCGCGCGTTTTTGTAAACGTTTTTTAATTGTCTGGCCATCATTTAATTAAGCTGAAAGCCGTTGGCAGGCGGACAAGCAAACTGAACGAAGGCGATCAAGCGAGAGCGGAGCGGCTAGATATCGATAGTTAATCGCTAATTCGATATGTTTGGCCGGACAGTGTTTACATATGCATTTAGCGAAAACTGGTGCATAAATTAAGCTGGCAGGAAGCAGCCAACCAGTTGTAAATTGTTGATGTTGGAAACATGTTGATTAAATGCTGATGAGCTCATCCACTCACTAGTTGCATGTCAAATTATTTATGCAGTTACTGTATATACAACTTATATTTGTTTTATTTGCAAGGTTACAGCCAAAAACTCAACTGATTCGGATTCGCAGCAGCAGCAGCAGCAGCAGCAGCTCTTGTGCTTGAAATTACAATCGGAATTGGAATCGAAATATAATTTGAATTACCCCCCGCCGGCGCCGCAATCATCCATGAGCTGTGCTGCTGAGACCCCAGCGGCTGGCTCTGGCCTGATTGGCATTCACAGCGCTGCGTCGTGAGCTGCACAATAAATTTCCATAATTGCCCGGCGTCCGTTAGGTGTTGACACAGCTGAGGTGGCCAAGTGGGTAGGTGGGCAGGTGGGCAGGTGGGCAGGTGGGCGATACTGCCAGGCGGTTAGACGCACCAGTATTATGCTAAGCAAATCAAGTGCCGCCGTTGATGTTTATTGCATGCGTGAATTTTATGCCCAAATAAAATTGCTTTAAGTGACTTTTAAAATCCCCCACAAAAAAACATAGACTACAAGACCTTTCGAAATGACCAGTGGACACGAAATTGAAATGCCAGCCAAGCCGTGCGCTCCCCGAATATGAGAAGGTCAGGTTTGGGCACGTGGCACCAATTGAAGCAGACAAACCCAAAGCTCTCAATGGAAATTGTCTTGCTGCTAACCGGCTGGGCATGTAACTGAAACTGTTCTCAATCAAATGTGTTTACAAGTGTAAGTGTGTGTGTGTGTGTGCCTGTGTGTGTGGGTCTCCTATTTCCGTTTCTGACATGGGCAAGCCCCGAAAAGTAAAAGATTGAATGTCAAGTGCGAAACACAAAATATTTACTATTTCATTTATGTTTGCAGATGTGCTCCTGCTGTTGGAAATAGGCCTGCTTGAGTCTTATAAACAGTGTTGAGCAACGTTTGCATTTGATAGATATGACAAGTTCTCTATCGGCCATCTTTAATTTGCATGTAATTGGGATTTTGAGAGATTATATCGTCAAATAATTTGCAAAGCTGTGGCAGCTGCTAATCTAATCAAATCTAATTGAACTGGAATTACGGATAAATATTAAATGTATGGAATTATGCAAATCCATTTATTTTAATTAATATCTATTTTTTGTTTAATCGAAAATGTATGAGTGAATCCTACAGGAATTTTACAGATAGAGAAATGTAGTTGAATATTCTTGTGTTATTTAATTCTTTTATATATATATATATATTTAAAAATTTAATGCGTAATTTTTGATGAATTTATCAGCACTGTAAATTAAGGCTTTAAGGCCTTAAGACCAGCTCTGCTTAAATATTTAAGCGTGAAAATTGAATTTAAGTGAAGGGTCTCATTAATAAGGTCTCAATAATAAGGTCTCGCCGTATCAAAAGGACCTTCTTTAACTTTTTGGCTTCTGAGCTGAATCGTAATATGATTTACAGCTCGACGCACTGCGAATAATACGAAATACATTACAAAATTGCGAATTTATGACTTGACACATTCGTTCTTCCGTTTTCCATATGCTGGCTCCGTGTATTAACGGGGGACACGAGCCACTATCATAAACAACATTCAATTGTCAGGCTGATAACCTCTTTATACCTCCATTTCTATTTCTATATGTATTTTTTTTTGTGTGTACTTGAACTTTGATACATATGCCAGAAATGATTATTTACTTGTTATTGCGATATAGTTATCTGCAATATTTGTTCTATTATTTGTTTTTCCAAAAGAGATTTTTTCCGTGTGTTTGGGCTTAATGCATCAGCGAGCGACGTGGGAAATTATGCAAATGTGTCGCAAATTGGATGACGATGACCATAAACAACAGCGCTTATCGATGACAGCAGCAGCAACAACAGCAGCTGAAATGACAAACATACACACACACACACACACGCGCACAGGTTGACTAGCAAGGCATTTGCTGCTGGTCCAAAAAGGACCCTCATCAACACAAAATCCAGCTGCCCGGCGTCCTTTTTTTTGCTGGCTTGAATAATCTTTTGCGTCTTGTTGGTATTTGTTTACACAGCGAATTAGTCAATTTTTGATTTAGTGCCAGTATTCAAAGTCAGCAACTCCTTTTATTTTATTTATATATATATATGCATATATATATATTCTTTATCAATTTGGAAAATTTTTTGTCTTTTGTTTTGCTGCCGTTGGCGAACGCGTTTTTTGCGCAACTGAAAATTTGTACAAAATTGACTAAGCGTCCTGCTGCTGCTGCTGCTGGCTAAGAGCGCGGGGAGGGGAGTGGGGGACAGGACAGGACATTCAGCGTTTTGTTTGCTCGAGTGTCCTGCCAGCTCAAATTGCACAGAAAACAATAAGCAAAACAGAGTCACAAAACGGCAACCAATCGAAGGCAGTAAAAAAAAAAAAAAAAAAAAAAAAAAAAATGAAAGAGAAATGTTGTTGAGCAATGCTGAAAGTAGTATTGGAAGGTATGGCAGGCAAATAGAGCTCATTAATCGGTTTAATGGCCCCAGGACTTGGTGTTCTCTGTTCATCGAACTTCAGCAACACGCTAAAAAACAAAGAACAAACTCTTTCCAACTTTTGAGTTATGTATAAAGCGCTCGAGCTGAAAATATCTCTATGTACATATTTATATGTAGCTATCTATGTGTATGTGTGTGTGTGTGTGTGGCCTCCGTTTTGCGGTTTTTGTGTTGGCCAAATTGACAACACACCTCAAAAGCATTACAACAACCAAGCCAATGTTTGAATGCGGGCGGGTTGCTTGATTGTATTGTGTGGTTCCTGATGCCCGCCCAGCTGGCCGATTGGGGTGGCTTGGGTTGGCTTCCACTAGCTTTTTGTTTTTGGTTTGGGCTGCTCTACTACCATTTGTATTTATTTCACTGCGTTTTCGTTGTTTCGCGTCCCGCTCCGTTACCTCTGCCGTCATTTATGAAATGGCATTGAAACAGTTTGGTGTTTCTGTTGCTTTTGCCGATTCTCTTTCTCTTTCTGTTTCAGTTTCATTTTCATTTTCAGTTTCAGTCTCTGTGGCTGCCTTTCCCTTTAAGCGACGAGTGTGTGTGTGTGTGTGTGTGTGTGTGTCTCAATGCTCTTATCTATCAAATTGGTCGTCGGCCAAGATTCCGATTCCCCTCCCTTGCCCGCAGCTCGACGTGACCAGCTGATATGGCTGTGGTCAGTCGGCGCTGAGCCTCGGAGCCTTTTTACTCACTTAAGTATTTATAGCTTGAGGGTCAAATTAAGTTCTAAACAGACCTTTATTTCTGTACATTAATTTTTTTTTTGTTATCTCCTTTACTGGGACAAGGTCTAAATAATGTAATTATCCAAGCTTTTTCAAGTTGGAGTTGCCTCGAATAAGACATGGGATTTAGGGCGTTCTTTGTGGAGCTTAATGTTTGACTTGAATGGCAGTAAGTGTTGGAAAATGTTCCAAAATTATTTATTATAGGATTTATTTTGGGAAAGTTTTTTACTTTAGAGGTCAAATTGAAATTGAAAAAAATATTTTTAATATTTTAATTTATATGAAAAATATTATTTTTATTTTACTTTTTTTTTTCAATTTTTAGTATTTTTTTAAAGATCTACAAATTTGTCGAGCGTCAAACTCTTTATATTAATTTTTATTGATAATTTATAATTATTTATATAACTATTATACTATATTATTATCTAATATTCCCCTAACATATTCCTTAACCAATCTTGGCTTCTTTGCCAGCGTATGAAATTGTCGACTTAGTGTCGCACTCTCTGTACGTTTCATCATTTTTATTTATGTAATTTGACACGTGCTAATAAAAATTTCTGTGGCCATACATAAATGGCAGTCAGCGGCAGCGAGCTCCCAGCATGGAGTATGAAAGCATGATGGCTTCGAGCTTCGAGCTTGGAGCGTGGTCGGCCGACGCGTCGGCTACGTGACAATAGAGGAAGTAATTAAAACGCGATTTACGGCAAGGTCAACTTTATGAAGGTCTGCAGTTCATTTGCATGGCAGACATGGGTTACGGACGCACACGAAAAATAAAAAAAAAAATTAATAAAATAGCGCAAAAAAGATAGAAGAACTTGGGACTCGGCCGCTCTCTCTCACTCTCTCTCTCTCTCTCACACACACAAATTAAATGATGCGGGTGTAGCAAGTGATATTGGCACTGTTCCTCTACCTATGCCCCCTCTCTCTCTCTCTCTCTCTCTCTCTCTCTCTCTCTCTCTCTCTCTCTCTGCTCAGTCATAAAATGTAGCATAGTGTTGCACTCCCACTCCCGCCCACTCTCTGAAAGGCAGAAAGAAGTTACTGTCACTCTTCCACTCTCTCTCTCTCGCTGTCCCGCTCGCTCTTACAGCGCTGCCCGCAGCTTGGCAAGTGCCATTGTTTTATTGTTATTCATATTGCTGTTCCTGTTTGTTGTTGTTGTTTTGTGGTTGTCGCTCTCGATGGCGTCAATCAATTAGCGCAATTACTTAATTACGGCCCACATAATTGAATTGGCCGAGCGTCCTCAGAGTTATGACCGGACCAAAATGAAAATGAAAATGAAAATGAAATTCATGCAACAAATGCGTGTGTGTGTGTGTGTGTGTCTGTGCTAGAGCATCGCAGTGCTTATCTCTCGTATCTCTGGCTATTTATCTCGCACTTCATTAACCAGCGCCTCTTGTCTATGTGGCATATTAAATTACGCATACGCCGTGTGATTTATGTGATGTTAAGACTCGTTTCGATTGAATCGATGCCGCGCCGCACTTGTACTCACTTGTATCAGTTTCCTGCCATTCTCCAGATAGTTGGCGTCGCTGGCACGTGGCTGGGTTGACTTCTGCTCGGCCAGGTCAATCGCCTCTTCTCTGTTATCCTTGGCAAAGCCGACCTCATCGAACGGCAGCTCCCTTTGCCTGCTCACCTTATGCTGGTGTTGGTGTTTGTATTGGTGTTGGTGTTGGTGTTGGTGTTGATGTTGGTGCTGGTGTTGGTGCTTCATCCTCGCCTCCTCCTCATCAGCATCATCATCGTCTTCGTCGTCATCATCGTCGTCATCATCATCATCATCATAGTTTCTGCGCTGCCAGCTGCTGTTGTTGCTGCAGCTGCTGCGCGGATAGTGTAACTGCTGCTCATCCGGCTCAGCGCCGTCGGTTGGACCCATGGGCAATGGCATTGCCGTTTGGTTGGCAATCAAATGCTTGCGCGGCAGACACACGCCGCCCTCCCCGCCGACTGCCGCCAGCGTCGGCTGAAATGGGGCGTAGAGGCCGCCGCTTACCTCCAGCTCCTCGTGCGCCGGATTGCAGCTGGAGGGGCCCAGCTGGGCGGGCGCCGAGGCGACGGGGCTGACAAAACGTGTCGTGCGATACATGGGACGGGAGAGGCTGTAACCGCAAAATAAAAGCAAAACAAAACAAATGAAAAGGGGGCTTGCCACAATCAAATAAACTTGATGTAGCCATTCGCACTCACTTGTAGCCGTATTTGGGCGATTCGGTCTCGGGGCGGCGTCTGCTGGACATCATTGTGTTGACCCGATCTCCGCGGGCGGCTGCCATCATATAAGTCCACATTGCGGCTCATCCACGGCCGTGCTACGCTAAGCACATGATGCACGGTCCCGGGAAATAGAAAACAGCGTCAGGTAAGAGTGGAGCTGCAACGGCAAAGGCCAACACATTAAAGCACTTGGCGGGGCAATTGTGGTTGAAGTGTGGCAATCATCTACTAGCCAGGTCATAAAACTACCGTTTGTGGCCTATGAGGGCGGCGACGGGGGTGTGGGTGGTTACGGTAATTAAGCAATTAAAATGGAGCTCAAGTTGCAGCGCCGCAAGGTATGCAACACGAAAATTGCAGAGCTCAGAGGCAGATCCAGGGAGCAGCATCAAGAGCTCCCGGTGGCAAGTCGCAAGTCGTAAGCTGCAAGTCGCCCGGGCGCCTTTTTGATGACTTCCTGTGGCCATAAAATCAGCATAGAACACCCACTCGGCTTACTTTTATGTCAGCATTTTATTTTGCTCGCTTTATAGTTCTCTGCTACGACTGAGACTGCGACTGAGATTGAGACTTTGATTTTGGTTTTGGTTTGGTTTGATTTCAAGTGCAGCTGCGCCAGCCAAAGGCTTAAACATATTTTTATTAGATGATTAGATATCAGTTATAAATAGTTGAAGGACTTGGCATTTAAGGCGTTTCAATTATAACACAAAAGGAGAAGAGCCTGGAGGCGGAGAGTGTGCGACTCACACTGAAGAGCAATCTTCACACTGCGAATCCTTCTGCGAATGAGTGTCCTGAGCTCGAGACTGTTCCAGAGAAATGACAGCTCTAAAGCGAGCAGCCGAGGCTACTAAACGACTTAGCGCTACTCGAGTGAGTTGCACACTACGGCTCGAGTCGAATGATGCCACACTTGTAATCACCGAAATGCCATCCAATGAGCAGCTGCTCGAGGCGCAACACCAGAGGCGACACCAGAATGCAGAGTGCAACACACAGCGAGCGCTCAGTGAATAGTGAGAGGGGGGAACACTGAGAAGGGGAACAGTGCAGTGCGAGGAGGAGCAATGAGCAGAGGCTGTGAGTGAGCAGCAGGAAGAGCTCGACGAAAGGATGCTAAACGCAAACACTTATCCCGGACATAAAAACCAGAGCTAAATCGTAAGTTAAATGAGGCTAATTTTTTTTTATCTATCACAAGCGCTCTCTGGCCGCAGATGCGGTCGGAGCTGAGTCGAGTGTGAAGGAGAACAGACGAAGGATGCTTAGCGTAAGATACGAGAATGCCAGCATGGCAGGAAGTGCCGAGCCCCAACCGAAGAATGGCCAACTTTATGTCGGCATCGAAAAATAAATGAAAAATGAATGAATAATAAAAAATGAAAAATGAATTGAAATTTTATCCAACAGAACTTTGCGGCTGTCCACAGCTATGGCGTGCAGATAATCCAATTAAGCAGAGGGTATTTATGTTGCAAAATTAATATAATACAAACAATAAATACAAACACACACACGTATATACACACATATGTGTGTAAAAATGAATTCTTAAATTTCTTTGTAGTCTATGAATGAAAACTTTTTATTTATTCTGGACAACAAGCTGAGCTTTGGTGCAACTTTTTAAATTGTATATATATTATATAATACGCAATACATACATAAATATACAATATATATGTATATATGAAGCTAGGGCATAGACTGACGTCGCTTGATTAAATCAGCAACATGCTGATCAGCAATATATATGTATATATATGTATTTATACCCTAACCTAACTGTTACATATAGTTATTAAAAAGCTGAATACCCTACTCCCTCTTTTTGGCACTGAGCATTGCAAAATATGCGCGGCTATTTCTGAGAAAATTTCGTAGCATACTTTTCTGGGCAGGAATAATTGCATTTCAAGTTAACGGGAAAGCAAGCAAATGCTAATAACGTTTTATTGTATGCAAAGTTTACAAAAGCTTTTAAAGCGTTTAATTGAAATTTAAAGTATTTAGAGAAATGGGCTTTTTAATGGTTTAGCAAATTGTTTTCTTTTTTTTTTCGAGCTGATTTTGAAAGGAACAAAAGTGAGAGTGAGATAATCTATATAAATATATCTAAGTAAAAATTTTTATGAATGTACTACGAATATAAACTCAAATTATTAGAAATTACTTCAAATAAATATATATAAGTATAAATAAATATAACACCAAAGCCAAGGAAGTTTTTTTATTAACTGCAGTAAGAACTCAACTCAATTTACTCGACCTTCTCTATTATGTCAAATTTATGCATTTTCAAATGTATATTTATGCCTTGACTGCACATGCTAAGCATATGTCATATCCAAATAGAACCTTAGCTAAGCTCAACAAATAAAAGGGAACAAAATGATTGGAGTACAGTTCATGACCCCCGCTGGTGCAGAGCGAGCGACTTTATCCAGTTGTCCACGAATGTGTATATAAATAATGTGCTTTAATCTAGCCGCAAGCAGCATAGACAACAAACTAATGAGGCGCAAATGATAAATACAAGCTGACAGCGCATTCCAGACAAACATAAGCAAAAGCAGAAGAGGAAGCAGAAACTGAAGCTGAAGCTGAAGCAAAAAAAAAATAATAAAGAAAAGAAAACTCGACCAGCTGCAAATGTGAGTCACAGCAACATTTTTTTGTACAAATTGAGCTAAAATGCAAATTGTATAAAATGTGTGTTTTTATTTCGTTTTTTGCTCATCTCTCTTTCTGCTTTGGCAGATAATCAAAAAACGTGCGCAAAAATTAAGCAAAATGCGAAATTTTCTTTACATAATTTCCACTTGACTAGAGAGTGGAGACTAAACAGGCGGCAAATGGAGCAAGGGCAGCAGTAGCCAAAGGAGCAGGAGTAGCCAAAGGAGCAGGAGTATCAACAGTAGCAGCAGCAGCAGCAGCACTGCAGCCAGTCCTTCTTTGTGTGTCTTTTTTTCTTGCCTTTGTCTGGCATTTAACTGTCGCGTGATTTTATGTCATAGATTATCTGTGTAGCTGCACGCTTCAGCTCTTTCGCAGCATTCAATTTTAAGTGCAATTTTTGGTTTGCCAAAGGAAAAAAAAGGAGCAGAAGACTCCACTCCCATTCCAATCAGAGAGCAGCGAAACCTTTTGACTCTGGCTGCAGTTCTGATGAGTCAGTGGCAAAGTCTTTGACCGCATCAAAATCTGAGAAACTTGTATAAAAAAGTAGAAGTAAAATAGGGTGTGAGTGTACGTGTTCGTGTGTGTATGCGTGTGTGTGTGTGTAGGCACGCTGACATTCAAAAATGGGCTGGCTAGGTTTGCGCTGGGCAGGATGTTAGACAAAGCAGCGCAGATCGATTTTTAGCTATAAAATCAAAGTAAATCCATTTATCAACTTCAGCAGCAAACAGTTTCGTGCAGATAACAGCAGAGAGAGAGAGAGAGAGAGAGAGAGTGAGATAGAGACTTGACTTTGATAGAATGCAGCAACGGCTACAACAGCAGCAGCAGCAGCACGCACTTGACCAAGTTTTTAAGGCCAAGTGCCTTAGAGCCATTAAATACTTGTCGAGCAGCTTTAGACAAACAAATTGTTGAGGCCCATCGAGGCACGGTTCATAACACGCCCAATCAGCCCAGCCGCAAAACGTAGCAATTAACGCTTGAGCTGCAGCCAGCAGCCAGCAGCCAGCAGCCAGGACGAAACAAGGACTCACTTGGCATCAGATTACACATCATCTGGCTGGTCTCTGCTGTGGCCCGCTGTGTTGTTGATGCTTTAGCCAAATCGTTTGACTCGACTTGGAATTGCTAACGAGCTATAAATGGGTGATGTGGTCTCTCTCTGTGTGTGTTTGTGTGTGTGTGTGTTAAGTGTGTGTGAGCCTCATTTGTAATGATTAAGTTGCACAGCGAGCTTGTGGTGTTTATGCCCCAATGGAATCGTTTACACGCATGCCAGCAGCTTATGAAAGAAGAAGAAGACGAAGAAGAAGAAGAAGAAGCAGCAGCAACGAAAGTGAAAGATTAGCAGCAGCAGCTGATTTATATTCAATTGCTGCTTAAATAAAACATACAAAGAGAGAGAGAGAGAGAGATACATGAAATCAACGAAAAGTAAATAAACTGAACAGCAAATAATAATTAAACGAGCATATATAGTCCATATAGTACATCGGACAAATATGGCTGACAAAACTGGCTGGCCGAAAAAGGGCAGTTAAGTGCTTTATAACATGACGCTTAAGCACGATATCACGTATACGCCATGTGTGTGGCGTTCGAATGAAAAAAGGCCTGAGACGCTCGCCCGACAGCCAGACGGACAGACAGACTGGCAGCAGGTACTGCTGCTGCTGCTGCTGCTGCCGCTGCTGCTGCACAGGCGTCAGGAGCACAAAATATGCTAATGTCAATTATTTTGTGCGTAATTTGCTTTCATGCTTCAAGCACATATCAAATTTGCTCCCACCTTCACTCCACACGCCCCCCATAATGATGAATATTAATTTTTTTTTTTTTCATTTTGCTCGCATAACACTTAGCACAATGCGCTAATAATTTCATGAGCTCTAAGCGACACGAACAGCAATCGACAACTTATCTAATCTGTGCATACAGATTATATACAGATATACACACTTGTATAAATATAAATATAAATATGAATATCTATCTATCTGCCGATATACATATTCCTGCTGACACCGGAAAGGTGAGACTGGCTTCAATTAACATTTGTGCACGTAGACGCAATAACGCAAATGGATTTGGGTTTCATAAAAATACGTTATTTATGGAGTTTACTGCCGAGTGGGCGCCCCTTTTGGCAGGTTTAGTTTATTAATATGCTCGCTTATAGTTAACAATTGCGATTGGCATTCAAATCAGCTGCTAAAAGGACACTCCACTCAGCGCACAGGATCGCTGCCATCGGACAGGTGGTGATAGCCTGAATCTGAATGTGGTTCTGGGGCTTACCTAAGGCTATGTGCTTCCTCTTTGAGTTGAGTTGTATTAATCCGGCAAAACTGTCAGGCAGCGTGTAATCCTATTAAATGTGGCTACGCTAGCTGCTGCCTGCTGGCTGCTGGCTCCTGTCTCCTGGCTCCTGGCTGCTGGGGGCTATACCAATGCCACCTCACTCTCACTCGCACTCCCTCTAAATCTTTCGCTCTCTCTCACTCTTGATTTTTCTTTCTTTAGTATTTGAATTTTTTCACTTTTTTACACAATTATTTAAATGCGTGCAGTAATTTCAAATGAAATTTGAATATGTATTTTTCTTATTGTGCCGCGCATATTTTTACAAACACACACACACAAAGAGACGGCATGCACACGCACATACACCGAGAGCAAGAGGGCTGTGAATTAACAGCAAAAATGGCGTTGATTTTTGCACTTTAATTGAATAAAAATTCAAATGTTGATGCTGTGTATCAAAATAACGCGCGCGCCAACTAACAGACACACGCACACGCACACGTACACACACACTGTCAAACGCAAAAAGGACGAATAACGGAACAGCAGCGGCAGAAGCAGCAGCAGCAGCAGGGAAACGTTGCGCGCCGTGTACGTTCGCATGCCTGGCTAACGGCGCAATGAGCGCCTGTGGGAGAACACAGAACCAAAGGCGAATGCAAATGGCAAAAGCAGCAGCAGACGCAGCAGCAGCAGCAACAGCAGCAGTTGCTGTGGCAGCGGCAGCGTTCGCAGCAGCAGCAGCCGAGCAGAGCCGATAGCAGACGCGGCGAGAGCAGCTTATGTGCGTGTGTATGTGTGTATGCGTGTATGCGTGCTTTTCATTCATGCTTAACAAGAGCTTTTTGTGTGAGAGCTTTGCGCGCATAATAGAAAACCTGTTGCTTGCTTTTGTGCTACTGTTGTTGTTGTTGTTGCTGGCAATTGTGATTTTTGCCAGTGTTGCCATACGTCTAGCAGCTGTTGCCAGGCGGCGTGCGAAATGGCAACATAAATTAATTAAATTGATGTTTAAGCATTGGCATGCTGTTGTTTTTGTGGTTGTTGTTGTTATTGTTGTTACTGTTATTGCTGAGCCTGGTTTATTAACCCGCCTACAGCGCGATTTGCCTGACACATTGACAAATTGCTGCAAATCCAAATATGAGATAAAGAATCCTGGAGACTGAACTTGATTAATGTCGGTCTGGCTGCCTGTCTGCGAGCTGTCCCCGCCAGCCGTGGCTCTGGCACAGTTCATTTGATTTGATCGAAACATGTCGCCCGGCCATGCCCAATAGCTCAATTAGTTGACATACCCACTTCTTTTATCTACTAGAATTTTTTGTCTAATTGAATAAAGATTTGCATTTACATGTTGGGGGTCTGAGCTCAAACATCTTTGAAGTTCATGTTCAGTATTTTGGCACCTGCTGCTGTTGCTGCGTACGTGTTCGATTCGCTTTATAGTCGCATGCACATATGATGATTATTGCTTTTTTGTCTCTTCATGTACGACATACGACATGCTGACAAAGGCATGGCAAGACCAAGACCAAGACCAAGGATAAGCCAATGCTCATATGTTCATTGTCGCAAAGTTCAAATAGTTCAAGTCGAAAGTTCAGTCACCAACCCAGAAGTCAAAATCCAACAAGTGGTTAGTTATATATATAAATATATGTGTATATATGATACATGTATAATATATATACTTTTACTTGAATAGTCAGAGACACACACACACACACAGAGAGAGAGAGAAAGAGAGAGAGGGATATAAGCACTGAGCCTGTGGAGCTGTGCATAAATTTAATTTTTATGGCGCGCCTAAAAGCATGCAATGAAATACTTGAATGTGTGTGTGTGTTTGCTTATGCGTACGTGTATAAGTATTCACAATAGGCTCTCGTACAATTCACAATTTGAGTAATTTGTTATTCAAACACATTGCGAATCGATTATACGCTTGGCATGCTCCCTCCAATCGAGCAAATATGTTGATTGACTTTTGTCAAGGCTTACGGCTTTTGTGTGTGTACGTGAGCTTTTGTCGCCGTGCAAAAGGCAAATCTGTCAAAGTGTGTGTGTGCGTGTATGATTATGTGCATGTGTGGAAATGCCAACGCAAATATAAATGAGGAAATGCGGGTAGTCAGGCGGACCACCTTTCACTTTCAACCTAAAGCAAGTCATGAATGTGCGTATGTAATGCTTGGCTGACTTTATGCGCGCGTGTGTGTGAGTGTGTATGTGGGTGTGTGAATGTGTGAATGTGTGATAACGAAGCATTTGCTGCTCATTGAAAAGCTCATTATCACGCTCACACACAACCACACACATGCAGCAGCAGCGGCGCTCAGGCGAAGGCTACATTTTTGTCATATGAGTAGAAGAAATGTTATCAAAATGGGTTAAGGTTCAGCTGATGGGCACAATTCCAGCTTGAACTATAGATATAGATGTATATATGTATATATCTAGCTGGCAGCTGCTGGCTGCTGGCCCAAGCATCTCAATGTCAGGCCATAGCCTTTACCTGGCAGCAACTTGTTGAATTGAATTGATTGCCGCATTGAAATTTAATTGCAATTGCACTTGGAGCACCGTTTGAATGTTAAGCGTGCGCAAGGACATTAATTAAGAGCGTCGAGCGGGCGAGCAGCTGAGCAGCCCCACTGAAGTGGCTCTGATTGCGTTGGCTGGCAGCAGCAACAGCAACAGCAACAGCAGCAACAGCAACAGCAGCAACAGCAAAAGCAGCAGCAACAGTTGAGCCGGCTAAACGATGGCCTGCATATTAATTAGAATGCTGAAAGGAAACGAATAAAATAACGTCCCATTGCGTTGCCATGGCGCATATGCAAATATTTGGCGCATGCCAGATGCTTTATCCACTGCATGAAAATAAACTGCAGTCCATAAATACACAAATAAACGAAGTCTTGCTATAGAATATATGAATGCCGTTCGCTCTCCTTCTTTCGCTGCCACCCCCCTTCTTGTTCTCTCTTTCTGTGTATTGTGCGGCCCTGTCAAAAGGTTAAAGTTAAGCATGACAAATTGCGCGGCACTGGGGCGTATACTTCATATTGACAGCATTATGGATATAGCATAAATATATATATGCATGTATATACATGTGTGGGTGTATGTATTGGCACTACATTTGTCATGGCTCAACGAGCTCTGCAAATCCACATAATTGCTGTCATGCTACGCCAGCTAGCTCTAGCCGTAGTCCTCGACCAATTACTGCAAATCAACTTGAATCGGTGAAATTTTCTAATCAGCTGCGAAAGTTACTTAAATGAAAATTTATTTTTAGTTGTTTAAGCGCTATAAGTGCTCTCTATTTTATGTCCCCCACGCATAGTGAATTGGCTTAAGTGAATTTATGAATACAATAATTCGCTGTCTATCTTTCTGTTTGACTTGAAATTTGATATACGACTACAAACTCAGACCAAGTGTGACCTCATCTTAGATGTTTTGGAATTTCGATTATATAATCAAGTATATGAAGGCCATTTCTCATAGGTTAGATAAACCTATGACTATATTAATTCCATTTCAATTTTAAAGAATTAGTTTACTTTAATATTTTCAATAACTTAAGTTGCTGATTTAAGATTATGGAAACAGTTTTTTGGACTGCTTATAAATAGGTATATATATGTATATATTACAGCTACAATATTTTAATAAACAAACATTATTTGGACTCTTAACAATATTTGAAATTGAAATTTCCTTCCCATTACTTTTGAATTGACTTGAGATGCTGCTGCAGCTGCTCGCAGCGCTGGCACTCTCTGGTGAGCTGCTTGACAGCCGTTGCGTATTGGCGCTGCAGTTCGAGCAGGCCGAGCAGCTCCTCGTTGAGCTCGTCGCGTCGCATGCGCTCCTCGTTGTACTTGTGACGCACCTTGTCCTGGGCGCTCTTCACACCATCGACAATCGTCTCGAATTGCCGTATAAAGTCCTCGCGACCGTGCGGACTGAGCATGCCCTCGTTGTAGGCCTCGCAGATGGAGTTGAGCAGCGATAGCTCCTTTTCGAGATAGCGCTTCTTGTCGTTCAGTGTGTTGTAGAGTGTATAATATTGCTTAGTCTCTAAATGTTTGGCACTCATCTCGTTGTACAGCTCGTGGAAGCGCCTCTGGTACTGCGCCAGCTCTGTGCGATCGGGTATTGCATCTAATTTGCGCTCGATGGCCACAATGCCACGATTGCGCTTGGCTAAGAGCAATCGCAGCTCCTGCAAGCGCTGCTGCTCGCCCGCTATTGCCGCCGCCTGCGCCTCCGCATCCTGTGCATTGAAGGCCTCCAGCTCACTGTAAAGGACATATAGTTAGTATTCCCTCTCATCCATAACATTTTTAATTGCCTCACTCAATTTGCTGCTGCAAGTTGGCCAGATCCGCTCGGCAGCTTTCCTTGAACTCCGACTCACTTTTCTTTAGCTCATCGTGTTGCTGCAGCAAACCGCGCACCTTCTCCAGCAGACTGCAAGGATATATCAATTAGAGATATATAATACTGATATCAAGCCAAAACTTACTCCGTATCTGCATTCGCTTCCGTTTGTTTGTATGCATCCAGTTGTGCTTTGAGCGCTAGCAGCTTTTGTTCCTGCTGCTCGGTTTGTTGCTTTTGTGCTTCCATCGACGCTTCCAGCAGCTCGTTGTCTTTGTGGTAGCGTTTGATCTTATGCTCCAGCGCTGTTTTGGCCGCCTCCAAGCGTTTCTGTTGATTCTGTGATTTGAGCTCTTGTGCATCTGTTTCCATTTCCATCTTAAATTCCGCATAATGCTGTTGCAGTGCGCTACGAGCCACGGGATCTAGATCGATGCGTTTTGTGGATTCCTTTGTGATAGCGAGCTGCTGCAGCTTTCTCTCTAGCTCGGGCTACATTGCACAATTACATACAAATTAATATTTATGTGAAATATACAGATAAACTATTCATGTTTAACCTCCGTTTCCATTTGCTCTGCATTGGAGCCCATCTTTAGATCGCCGTACTCCATTAAAGTGAGACGCACGCGCAATGCATCATCATCGCTGTTTGGCTCCTGGCGTTCGTATAGCCTTTTGGGACTGTACAGCTCCTGCAAAAATTAATTGAACTTTAGTTTATATTAAATTTGAGTAAACTGCCCATACCTGTATAGCTTTGATGTTAACGGCGGCATAACGTATTTTTGTTAGATTATCTTTATCGCTTTTATACTGATAGTCATTATGGAATTGTCCAATTGCAAATCTCTTCAGG